ATAACTTTTAGGGGCGCCCCGTATTTTAAAATATATTTATTTAAAATAGAATCGGTAACCAATTTCGCGGAGGCTCGTTTTAAGGGAACAATTTCGGTCCATTTACTAAAATGATCAACCATAACAAGGAGATAGCGACTTTTATTTAACTGACTTTTTGGGAAAGGGGCCAATAAATCGATGCCAATTATTTCATTTGGAAATTCGGATTTAATACTATTTAGAAACCCGGCCGGGCGGAAATTAATATAATTAACCTACTACTTGGCTTGACATGTTGGGCAGGAAGACTGGACATACGCCCTTGTTAACTTTTGCAGTTCAGGAAAGTAGACTGCCTCGCGTACGCGTTGGATAGTTTTTCGAATACCAGCATGAGAAGCTAAAGGGCTGTCATGGAGCTCATGCAGGATATTTAATCTAAGACTAGCTGGGATAACAGGTCGAAATTCGTTGTTGGAATTCGTAGTTTTTGTGTAGAATAATAGACCATCTATTAGTTCGTAATGGGCCGCCCTATTTCTTATCGCCACAATATCTTGGTGGCTAAAATTTTCAGGATCCTTCAAATACTCATAAATACTTCCAAACTCAGGATCCTTACCCAGTTCGGTTATTACAGTTTCTCGGGAATTTATTGTACACGCTGTCAGCATTGCAACTTTTACGGTATTACCCTGTTCGTCTAATTTAATTCGTGATAGGGCATCTGCTACGATATTTTCCTTTCCGGGGGTATGCTTGATTACCAGATTATATTCTTGCAGCTTGAGTGCCCATCTTATTAACCTTGGGGATAAATTTTTCCCTGAGTACAATCTAGTTACCGCCGCATGATCAGAGTATACTGTTATCGGCGCCTTTCCAAAATAGACTCGGAACTTTTGCACTGCTAACAGAACTGCAAGTGCCTCTCTCTCGGTCGCGGAATAGTTTCTTTGTGTTTGATTTAAAGTTCGGCTAAAAAATGCCACGGGCTGCTGATTTTGCGAAAGTACCGCTCCTACCGCATAATCCGAAGCATCCGTTGAAATTTCTAAATTTTCATCCTTTTCAGGAAATTTCAACACAGGGGCTTGCGTTAATGCTTGTTTTAATTTTTCGAAAGCACTATTGGCTTCGGCCGTCCACGAGAATCTTGCCTTTTTCCTTTTTAATTTTAACAATGGCTCAGCGATAGCCGCAAAATCTTTTATAAAGGACCTATAATATGAACAAAGTCCTAGAAAAGAAGAGAGCTTCTTTGCCGTGTTTGGAGTCGGATACTTTTGTACAGCGATTATTTTTGATTCATCTGTCTCGATCCCTTTTTGCGATATTTTGTAATCTAAATATTTTAATTCAGGGGCTGCAAATTTGCACTTTTCGATATTAACTTTTAGACCGGCCTCATTTAATAAAGAAAACACCTGTCTTAAATCCTGTATATGTTGGTCGAGATTATCACTAGTAATAATGATATCGTCTAAATAGATAAATGTAGACTTTCCAAGAACAGGTCTTAACACACTGTCCATGCATCGCTGAAATGTTGCCGGGGCGCCTGAAAGGCCAAACGGCATACGCAAAAATCCATAAGTGCCAGACTTGGTTATAAAAGCAGTCTTAGGCACGTCGTCAGGCCTCACCCCTATTTGAAAATAACCAGTCGTTAAGTCTAAAGTCGTCATAAATTTGGTTGATTTTATGTTCCTTAAAATTTCTTCTATGATCGGAAACGGATATACCGGATATTTCGTTATGGAATTTAATTTACGGTAATCAATAGCGAATCTCCACCTTTTTGGATGCTCCAAAGGATAATCATTATTTTTCTTACATAAAACCACCGGGCTAGCATAACTACTTGAGATGGGCGTTATGATCTTTTTTACGTAGCATATCGGTAATATGCCATTCTATAATTTTTTCCTTATTCTTATCATACCGGTATGGTTTTTTGACGAACTGGCAATGCATCTCCGGTGTCAATACTATGGTTAGTAACCTGAGTAAATCCTGGAATATCACTAAATAACGAAGCAAATTCACTTACCACTTGTCGGATTCTAACTTGCTCGTCATTAGGCAGGTGGTCAAGATTTAACCTTGGCGGTTCAATCTTTTCTACACGCACTGGTTTCATTGTCAGCTTAAGGGACGCTTCATTAAAATCCAGTGTAGCTTGTGCGTCTGAAAGAAAATCTATTCCTAAGATTAAATGTACTTGCAAAATTCTTTACTATAAAAAACATCACCTTTACTTGTTCGTCCTTGATACGGATATACAAAGGTACTTTACCTACGCACTTACATTGTTCTCCTTGCGCCGCTAATACTGTCGTATTATCCGCATTATATATGCGGTATTTGCGAAAATACTTTCTAAAAAAGACTTCTGCCACACAGGAACACTGCGCGCCGGTATCCAGGAGTGCGGTGGCCGGGATATTATTCACCAAGACTTCAATCTTCGGAAGAGTCAAATTTTTCACCATTACTGTATTTAACTTGTAGGAAGAGGGGTTTTCGTGGCCTTCGGATTTCCGCACCCTCTCGTGAGCAGAAAGAAATCCGTTTTAGTTTAAATTATTTTCCTTTCCGTGCTTTCCTTCTTTTTCCCCTGGCCTTGAGACTTTTTTCCTGGGTTGCTATTGAACTGTCGACGTTCGCCGGCTGTTTTTGAATGCTCGGATTTCCTTGCCCACTGATTCGCTTTTCTCCGTAGCCATTTGCTTGAGTTTGCTGTAGTCTTGGCGTACCAAATTGGTTTCGCTGTTGATATTGGCGTCTTCTTTCGACGTCCGCCGTTCTTCTACTTTCAAACTGGATTGCTAGCTCAAATAACTTTTCCAGTGTAGTCGGATTTCTTAATTCAATAAAGTCTTGCACTTGGGGTAGTAACCTCGGCAAAATCACTTGAATTATTTCAGGATCCGGACGGTTTCCATACAAGAGCTTGAAAACGTGAATTTTCTTAAAATAAAGCTCGAGAGATTTTCGATTCTTTGTTGATATATACTAAAAAGTTCCGTTTCTAATTTCGCACGATCCCTTACAACAGGGAAGGCTTTTAGTAGGGCAGTCTTGAAATTTTCGTAAGTATAGGTGGGACTTCCTGCTTGACCCAAGAGCCCAAGAGACTTCTGCCGATACATTTGAACCAGTTTTAAGCGCTTGGCCCCTCAAAGCGCTGGTAGCTAAGGTAACTTTTTGAAACTCGTGCACGGGGTAGAGCATGAAGTGGTCATCCAATTTTCCAAAAACTGGTTACCGGTGAGTTTCCATTAAACGTTGCTTCTGGTTTCATCGAAGCGCGCATGGTCTGGACGATGTAACCGAATCCTTCCAGGGCGGCAGCTGGCATTTCTGGATTCTGAGCCGTTTCTGCAGGCAGCACAGGTTCTTCTTGAAACTCGGCCATGGTTATTCTTCTTCGTTGGGCGCCACTATCAGGTTCAATGCTCCTTCTAACCTTCCTCGGGAACATACAAGGACCTGACTCGGAACAGAGAGCTTACTAAAGCTATGTTCACTAATTGTGGTAAGTAGACAGGATACAGACGAAGGGTATACAAAACCCTTTATTTTTCTCTATATACAATAACTTCCGTACTTCGGAATACACTGACCCTCCACTCGGGGTCTAACGTAAAAAAGTATAAAAATAAAACTAAACTCTAATTTAACTTTAGAATAATACACGTGGAAGATTGGCCTTATAACACAGGAAGCGTATGTAGCACAGAGACTGTGAACACTACAATACGTTTAATTTATCAAGAGGATTAAAACCTCTGGCCTGGAAGGCGAACAGAACTGCGTAACTTCTAAGGTAAGCGGCCTGCGTTGACTTACTGCTTCCTCTCTTTCGCTTGGCAAAAAGGCCACACTTAAATACTTGGCGTTCGCCAGACAAACTTTGCATAAAAACCTTCACGCTTATAATTCTGGCCGGAAGTAGAAAATAAGAAGTGATAGTAAAGATTTAAAATAAAATAAACATTAGTAAAACTTAAGATCCTTACAAGCTGGCTTCAAGGCTGGCGTTTAGTGCAAAGGGCCTGGCATCAAAAGAGAGCATAAGTTCAGACTTGCAAGCCAATCCCAGAAATAACAATATATCTTCCAAAATTTCAAAACTATGATACGAATCCTATCTTAAGGTTATGCGATGTATAGGGTGTAAGGAAATAACCATCTTGCATAACTTCATAATTTATAAAATGCTGAAAATTAGCTGTGTCATTTTTGTTGTGTTTTCCAAAAAAAAAAAAAAAAAAAAGGTTTTATTCATCCGGCCTAGGTAGTGACGTACGAGATCAGTTTTGAGGTTTCTGTGTATATTAACGTTTCTTATGTGCCATGGAACACCTTTGATGACGTGAAGAACTGTATTCTGTAGAATTTGAAATTTTAAAATATCTATGTCAGTTGTCGATGCGGAAGAAGCATACGCACAAATTGGACGGATGATTGCAATGTGGATTCCGTTTTCCTGCTAGATTGAGTTTCCAGTGGCTTAAGAGGAGATTTCAGGATAATATTCAACAGTTTTCCCTTTACTTGATTTACGTATTAATCTACCAGAATAGCTGTATCTTCAGCACAATACGCTAGCAATCCAATGTGGTCATGAGAAAACTTTTTAAAATCATGGAAATCAAATCTTTCATGATTATGATGTTAATATGTCCCCTACTTCTGATGACTTCTGTGCTTATATTATTATCATTTGCTGTTTGAAACGTTTAAGGATTTGTTTTGCAACAAAATCTATTCTGTCGTTTCAAGTTTTTTTTTTTCGTTTTATAAGTTTACATGTATTCTCAGCATTTCAGCTTAAAAGGAGATTTCTAAAATTTTATTCTTATCATGAAGGTGTTAAAAATTGAAGTATAAATTAAGATTTATATAATATGTTAAGATTTATATAATATGTAAAAATCTCCATGTACTTAGACTATTTTTCTTTGTGATCGTTATAGAATATTCACTGTAATCGAAATTATACTTTCTAGGGGATGTAAAGAATGGTTTCAGGAACGAACAAACTTCGAGAAAACTCTTCTATCGTTATCCAGTGTATTGTTACTCACCTTATGTTTAGTCATACTTTTTGGGATTGCTTATAAAGGTACGTAAGAAAGATTGTTTTTTATCATTCTCTCGCGTTTTGCAAATAACCAGAAGCTGCTATGCTTTTTATTAATAAATCTAAACATAAAAGTAATAGAATATTCTTTTATTATCATTTACCAAAGATAAGTAGTGAGTTTGCTAAAGCCATAAATTTTCTTTTCAATAGCAAAATGGATCTGGTTGTATATCTGGCTTTAGAGCTTTCCATAAGTACCATATAAAGACATAATTCAATTTAAATTTTTCCAAGTTTCATAAAGGCATATTTCCTTAGGTATGTAGCTCTAAAATACTTAATTTAATATATTATTGGTATGATGATATCATTAACCAGAGCATCTTAATCTACCTGATACTATTTCTGGTTCGCTTAGAGTGATAACACGTGCGTCTCAGTACATTCATTATTCCAATAAAGGTATGTAGATCATTTTATATAGTATGATAAATGACTTAAGTATTCCTATGTTTAAATGAATATACAAGTTTATCCCAAACGTGTGCGTAAGAATTAGAATTTTATTCATGGGACTAATTAAGCGCAAAACTTTTATCGCAGCATTTAACGATGAACTAACTGCTAATGTCCCATCATCTCCAATAAAACTATTAATTTAATGATTTTGTTTCAACACATGAAGAAAACTGCGAATAATAGTAAAACTATTATAAAATACAACACTTCCGGTGCTTGTTTAGGTTATAGTGGATATTCGTAAAATATTACAACCCCAAACTGCCTACTAAAAGATGCAGACTGTATTCAGAGTGTCGTTTTAAGGATGAATGGATCTGAGAGTATATCTTTCACAGTTGTAAATGATAAACTAGTGTTCTCGTCTGCATTGGAGCTGTAGCAGTCTTCAAAGAATATATTTCCTGTCATTGACATCAAAGCAGAAGAATCCCAATCGCAAAGCAAAATCCAACTTTTTTTTTGAAGGTAAAAAAGCAAAAAATCTTAGTAAAGAATTATCTGTTTGACAAATTTGTTTTAAGAAAGCATACAATATCCGGGAAACAACTACACATGCACATTACTTTATATCATGCACTATTGCTAAAAGTAATAAAGCTTTCAGTCATGAGGAGTTCGTTAAACAACGCATGCTGTAAGTTTAGGATGTTTTATGTCCAGGGAAAGGATTTTGAGAGTGTAAGCTTGTCTAAAAAAACGATGACTTCTAGGCCAGAAGCCATCAATAAAAATCTGACATTACAGTTAGAGTCAAACATTGACCATTCTGCTCTACAGGTATGGATGAAAGCACTGTTGTAAATGATACTGCTCAAGCAGTGCTATTTATAAGAGGTGTTGATGAAAATTTCTAATTACGGAGGAGCTGGCATGTTTACAGTCGTTAATGAAAAGCACAAGGGGGATTTCGAGAAAGAATATATTTTTTGTGAACTTCTGGAAAGGCTTTCAGATTTGAAAGTACCCATAAAAACATATATAATATTACTCACAGGCAATGTCCAAATTTTCTTCAGTGCATGCATTCTGAATACTCTGATGTGCTAAAGTCCGACGACTTAGTGCCCGATGTGTTTTAGAGTAAACCTGGCACCTTAAAGACGGCATTTTGTCATTTTGATGTGAGAAACTGTGTTCTATTGAGTGTGAAGATACGGTGTTGGAAGATACGGTATTTCGAACTTTGTATATTTTCACAGAATGGTTTTCCCATATGAACAACTTAGATGTCAATGGTCATTTTAAACCTTCTGATAAGGAATTGGAAGGTTAAACAGAAGATCTACATTAACCAATATCTTCGAATTCATGTAGTTTACTTACAAAACGTTTTCGAGAAATTTCGTGTTGTTTCTTGAGTCATGGGAACTAGACAATTACTAAATCATAAAATAAAGCTACAATATTATGTGCAACTTATAAAATGTTTCCGAGAAATTTCGTATTGTTTCTTGAGTCATTGGAACTAGAAAATTACTAAATCATAAATAAAGCTACAACATTATGTGCAACTTATACGTAGAATGTACGGAAGGATAAAAGAGTTTCGTTAGGTGCAAAATTTTTTACCAGATTTTTAAATATTGGGTAACCAACAAAGTTCTATATTTTTTCAGGAGTATTTGCGACCACAGACTAAAGGATTTTGCATGCGGTTAGTTGCGTTACGTAATTCACGAATAAGACTCACTATCCGGGGAATTTCAGAATTCAGTTCAACGTCTGCTGTTGGAAAGAGTGTTCAGACTTGTTATCTAAATGAATTGTTATTCGACAGATTTCATGAAACTTGTAAGATTAAGCATTTCATAATAAACTGCACATGTAAAAGATATATGAAAAAATTCCAATTTCAAATCGCTCGATAACAAGCCATGCTTCAGAAGGCTGTTATAAAGTAACGCTGAAGCATTACGGAGAAGGGTCTTTCCTTACACATCTGAAACTTTCGGGAAGCAGGTATGAGTTTGTATCTGTAGTAGCTACAGCAAACAGAAGAAGACGGAGAGGTAAATATATGATGCACGATTTGACAGAAAAGAAGAAACATCATTACACTATCCGTCAACTCATCCCCATTGCAAATAGAAAAACTGCGTGTTTAGCTGATGTTTGATAAGGAATGGATGAATACACCATAAAAAAGGATAACGTATCATGGATTGCTGCGTATTGGTTTCTATTCACCGCCCGCCGGTAGTGGATAAAACTATTGAACGCTAACTGACAGGAACTTAAAAGTTGAATTTATCGGCTGACATATTTTGATTACCTCTCAGTGTTTTTTCAAAATCAAGAGCCCTAAGTTCAGAGAAATTCAGGATACTCATAATTTACATATTATCCTATTGAAAATCGAAGACCATCTTTCCCAATCCTGATTGCTTAACTTTACTTTCAGAGAACTAATGCTACCACCTTAAGGTGCATTGTAAGACATGAGAAAACCTCGCTATATTGCCGAATCTTTTGTCTATTCTCCGCACCGTAAAGCTTTCACTCCCTATCAAAAGGCGTATGGCATAGACAGCGGGAGACCATGAAGTCACCATTATGGACAAGGCTTACAATCGGTAACTCAAAGTGTTCAAGAACAATTTGCGGTAGACCATAAGGTCACCGTTATGGACAAGGCTTACAATCGTGATTCAAATGCGTTCAAGAACAATTAGTGGTAGACCATGAGGTCACCATTATGGACAAGGCTTACAATCGGTAACTCAAATGCGTTCAAGAACAATTAGCGGTAGACCATGAGGTCACCATTATGAACAAGGCTTACAATAGGTAACTCAAATGTGTTCAAGAGCAATTAGCTGTGGTGTACAGGAAACATATGCGATGCTTTCAGAGCAATGCCGAACCACAAACGACCTGTGATACAAATGTCGCTTTGTAAAATGTTCAGATATGCACTGCGTGTTAGGAATTATACTTTGTATAGAATATAAAGATCAATCAGGCAATGTATAAATTTTACTTACAGTTTCATCTGATATATGCTAATTGGCTAAAGTGGAAAATTACCCTATTTTTTAGAGAACCTATGGAGCGTATAATTAATTTTATTTCATACTGTGGTAACAATCGCTTAGATCTAAAATACTGCAAATTTCATTTTACAATGTATGAGCCTTCTGCTGAAAACAATTACACTTTTTATAAATTTTTATATTAGTAACTATGAGTAGGCATTCATTGCGAGTGCTCAGATACTATTGAGTAATGCATTTTGGTTCTCTGAATTATTTTGCCGAAATTTATTTCGGGCAGCAAGCAACGCTGGAAGAAATGTGACTATTTTGGTTTCGAAACCCCATTCGACTTCAAAGGGAAAGAGGCGGAGCATCTGGAACAATTTACAGATGAAGCATACGAGTCAAAACACTTCCGGTTTACCGACTATTTTGTAAAATCTTTCAAACTACATCACATAGCCAAGTACCTATGATAAGTGTCATAATGGTAACGACATTATGCAGGAACTGATATCTAAAATTTCATAAAAGATCTGTTTCGGTGCACTGAATGTAGAAAATTCTGCATTTAACAAAAATAAGGATATTTTCTCTGGGCATTAGGGTTTTCAAAATTCCAAAATGAATACCGACTGCTGATGAACGCGACAGTGGCATATCTTAATATGTTGAGCAGCAGACTATAGACAGTCTCCTACTCATCCCTGCACATAAAATTAAAAAATTAGATTCATGCTTCTCTTTACTATTCTACAACATTTCAATATTACGCATGCACACAATTCTCACATTAACTTTCACACAATCAGTGCTAAAATTTTGTATGGTGCTACATTTCGTATAAGGTCTTTTCATATTGAACACAGAGAAGTTTCCCAGCCTATGCTCAGTACGAACAGGACATCTTCCGTACTATCATTGCGTGACATAGAGATCTTACCTAATATTTGAACTTTAATTTCAACAAAGATGAGCCGATCACAATCACAACTCACATCAGTTGAATTTAAGTACGTATCTATCATTGCTGAAAATAATTGTTATGGGGAGAGAGCAAAGCAATGCTTTTGGATAATATCCTAATATCACAATAGTGCCTATAACTCAAACCTGTTTAATTGGACAATGAGATTTGTTTTATACCGAAACAACCCATTTATTCTTGCCCAGTCACATCGCATTTGGTATTTAAACATTCTAATGCTCTAGCATAATTCGGAAGAGAAGAAAATTCTATCGATTTCTGCTCTTTAATAACATTGTTTTGTTATGAAGAGTTTTACAAGCATTTATATGTTATTTTATTCATATATATACAACACCCAATAACTGAGTAAGAAGGATTTGGGCTTTTACTTCCTTGTACGAAGAAAAAGATATATTTCAACGAAAATACCCATTTTGGCAGCTATCAAATACAAATTAGCGATGTCTTTGCTTGACAGCTGTACGTAAGGACAGAACAAAGGATTCTTTTCCCGCAAAAAAATTATAAAACTGATTTAAAATGTATTCTAAAGAGAATTTTATTTTTCGTGGCGTCTGTGCGTACGTACGTACGTACGTATGTATGTATATATCTTACATAACTCAAAAACGAGTAGCCTCAGAACGTTGAAAGTTTGTATATAGGATTGCTATAACATGTAGATATGTACCTCACATTTTCGTTGTAATCGGCAGAACCAAAAATATATATACATGTAAAGAAAAATGAAGAACATATAAAAGATTAAATTAGCAACGTAAATTTCCCTTCTCTATTCTAAAAAAAAAAAAAAATCTGATACACCACATGACTTCCTTGTACGGAGTATTAAATTATACCCATTTTTTTCTTGCATTTCACTTAAACTTATTGGATTAATTCTACTTCGTCGATAACGCAAAAACCACAATAGAATAAATGCACGCTTTAAAATTCACTCTATTTGGTGCAATATTGTTGCAGTGATAATGATTTACGACCAATGGATAACATGTGCTTAATAGCATATTATAACGCTACAAATATTTTAGAAAGCTATGAGCTAAAAGTTGTCTAAAATCAAAAAACATAAATTGAAGAGTAATATTTTGAAAACTTTGTTGATTTAAATCACTTTGTCTAAATCCTCCCTTCTGCATGATTATGCGTCTATACTGTATTGTTATTTTACGCTTGAATGTGAAAAAAATATCGTTTTCAGATTAAATGTATGCTACATAAATGCTTTCTACTTTTTTCCTTCGCTAGAAATTGTTTAAGCTTGAAATATAAAAAGAATCAAATTCGATGTAAATTAAGGAAACTCAAATGTAAAAAAAGAAAAAAAAAAAAAATTGATGCTGGATTTTATTTTTATTTATTTCATTAATTACAATTTCCTTAACTTCCTTAACATAGTTTTAATTTTCATTCTTTTTATAATTTACTGAATTATACTTGATATCATTGAATATTAAAAAATACAATTTAAGATTCTAAACCTTCAGACATTTAAATTAGATGTGTTCGACAATTACTTTGAAAACTATGTTATATAAATTTTAAAAATCAATTTCAGTTACAAAATCAACGAACGTATTTTAAAAAGTGGGAAACGAGATGCATTTTACAATTTTAAGCATTATATTCCTTAACCTTGTGGCATCAAATGCTCAAATATATAAAAACATCCGAATATTTTCATTGTTCTTTCTTAGTTGAATAGTATTTATAAAATAATTTTATTTAAAATTTTAATGAAGAAAAAAATTGAAAATAATTCCGTTTTATAAAACAACAGTAAGAGCGTAATGTCACATTTTTTTCATAAATTATGATGGAAAGTTGTTCTGAGCTATATAATTATTATATGAAAGCAGTAAGAGCACTTTAAAATAATTTATTATTATTATAAAAATCTAGGTTCGAAAATGGAATGCTTTTCTGAGAAAGAAGACGTGGTGTGTAGAAGTAGAAACTGCATTATAACTGGTAAGAAAAGAAATTGATATTTTTCTATTTAAAACTGGCTACTCTGAGACGAAAATCATAATTTTTAGGCAAATGGTTCACTTATTCCTGAAAAATTGAAACATTATGAATTTTAAGAATGAGCTAATTGCACGGGTGTTTTAATGACGTTCCCTGTATATAATTGCTGAAAAGTGGTGGTTCCAGCAGGGCAAATATTGGCAAATTATTTAACTGCAAGATATTAATATTAACGGCAAAATAATTAACAAACAAGTTAATTAACTGCAGGATATTAATATTAACGGCAAATTAATTAACAAACAAATTAAATAATTAATTATTAAATTTCAAATTACTTAACTGCAAATTAAATAAGGAATTAACTGAAAATTAATTAACTAATTATTAAATTTCAAATTAATTAACAAATTAACTAACTAAATAATTGCAAATTGCAAAAAATTAATAAGGAATTAACTAACTAAATTAATTATTAAATTGCAAATGAATTAACTGCAAATTAAATAAGGAATTAACTGCAAATTAATTAACTAATTATTAAATTTCAAATAAATTAACAAACAAATTAACTAAATTAAATGCAAATTAATTAATTAATTATTAAATTGCAAAATTATAAACTAATTATTAAACTGCAAATTAATTAACTGCAAATTAAATTAATTAAATTGCAAATTAATTAACTGCAAATTATATAACTAGATATAAAATATTTCCAGTTTTTCCCATGTGTATTATGAATATGAGCCAATTTCTCTCAAATATCATCTTTACTCTCAGGATGATGATTGTCGCTTTATTTGTCGAAATCCAAATAATCCAATCTCCAAGTATAAACGTAAATGCAAACTAGTTTTTCTTAGAATTTTCTCCACGAAGGCATTCCACTTTTAGGAAGATTCTTCACTGTGCCTGTAACAATTAACAGAAGAAACCATAGAAAGTTCTCTACAAATACATTCTCTTAAATGACAAAACCATCCAGTGCTTTGCCATAAATGAGTAACAAGACTCGAATTATGCATAAATGTAATAAAGGAATGAAATAAATTCAGATATATTTAGTGAATAACGGATAATTTTACTTTTGTGAGAAATTTGCTTTGAGTACTCAGTAAATATAAATATCAGTATATCGTTGTGTTTTAGGTTTTAGTTTGTTCGGAAAAAATGCATTCCTCTGTTGTGTTTTTGTGATTAGCACATGTAGTTGACGGTTAGGACAACGATGGTAGGCATACTAGAGGAGATATAATCATATTTCATTATTCTCAAGTACTATAAACAAACCTATTAGACTTCCAATTTTTCTTCTAAATGATGAATTAAATCAGCATTAAAAAAGTATTTCATTGCTGCAGATTCCATAAACGATTATGCTTGAAAGTATAATACGTAGAATTCATAAGAATGAATAAAATTAATGTTATCTTTTACAAAACACAAAGCAAAACCAGATACATGAATGAACGAAGGCAATGGAAAATACTCTTAATAAACTGAAAACTCTAAACATTGAAGTGTGTATTTACTCTGTTTCTGAATGGAGTTCAATGTTAAATTCCATAGCAGAAAGATCGCGCAGGATAATATTTCATTACATTCACCAGTGTCTAAACAGAAAAATTAATATATCATTATAAAATTTAAAGGAAATCATTATAATAAATTAACTATGCATTGACTATGCAGATCTAATTAATGTGAAGTGTTTCTGTAATACAAGTATATCAGAAATCTTAATACTATGTTACTTTTATTTACAATTATTTTTCTTTAAAAATCGGTAAATTTGATAAAGCTTAATATTGTTTGTAATGCATTATTTTCAAGATTCCAGTTTTGGAGTATTTTCTCGACATTGTTTGTATTCAAATTTTGCCAAGGTTTCAAGAAAGGACAAAGAACACAACAGATAGATTTTAATCTTAATAATAAAAGAACGATGATGGAAAATGATTCGGATCTCTCTTTCTCTGCATCACTGTATGGTATTTCTTGATAAAATGTCCTAAATTGAAAGTTGTCTTTACTTGTGAACCAAGTATTAATGATTAAAATATTTTATTGCTTTCATATTTCATAGGATAAAACATAATTTGTATTTTTTCAGCTTATTAAATCTTCTTCTTCTAATTTTATTACATTTTTGTCTTATAAGACTGACTTACTATGCTTTCAGCTGGACAGATACTTTCGAAAATGAATTACGATGTAGACCCTTGCTCCAACTTCTACAAATTTGCTTGTGGTAGATATGGAAGCGAAACAGGACAGGTAGATTCTGTAGCTCAGAGTTCTGTCGATTACGTTTACTTTGCGCTTAAAAGTAAGTAAATATCGGTAGTTTCAAATTTGTTTAAAATGATAACCTTTTAACCCATTTTCAGAGCTCAGTTTTGAAAAGAGAGTTAAATTTCAATTTTAAAGGGCTTAATATTATCATACACTATCAAACGATGATTTCCAAACTTGCCATATCACTTGGCTGTTGAGCCATTAGCCCTGATCTTGCTTTCCAATACTTAAGATCAATAGAGTTAAAGGACAGGTTAGCTTCGACAATGAAAAATAAGTCAGTGTCTTGAATGAGAGACTTTCATAATCTGGGTCTTCTTATTTTGAGAAAGACCACCGGCATTCCACTGCAAGTTTCGCAGCCCATTCTTGGCCATAATGAATTCAAATGCTCAAAAGAACAAGGAAGCGAGGTAACGCTGTGACAGATTTAGTTTTAACTAGAGTGCACCACGAGGAAACCTGTCACATTACACCTCTACTATATAATGTATGAAACTTATCTCTTTTATTTTACTTTCATTTTAAATTTGTTTTATACTTCCTTGTACGAAAAAGGAAGTATTGTAATCACGAAAAGTTTCAGACAGCATATTTACGAAAATATCCATTTTGACCGCTATCGAATACAATTTAACGATGTTTTCGTGTGATATCTGTACGTAAGGACAGAATAAAAGACTCGTTTCCTCCAAAAAAGTTATAAAACTGCTTTAAAATGAATTCTGAAGAAAATTTTTCGTGGCGTCTGTACGAACGTATGTACGTACGTACGTACGTATCTCGCATAACTCAAAAACGAGTAGCCTCAGAACGTTGAAATTTTGTATATAGGACTGCTGTAACATGTAGATGTGCACCTCGTATTTTGGTTGCAATCGGCCGCACCAAACGTATATAAATATATTTATATATATATATACACTCTGTAACCCAGCTCAGTGATCTCAGTTTCTTTACTCTTATATGTTTGTAAATTGTTTTGCTTTAAAAATGATTGAATTATGTTGTTCTTATCTTCCGGTTAAGGTTTTTATGCCTTTAGTAAATCTCTATGCAATATTTTTAGAATTATCAAGAATTTTAAAGTTGTTTAAGTGCCGCTAAGGCTTTTTTTTTTTATGGCGGCCATTGATTGTTTACAATTGAAACAGTAGACTAGTGGTTTTGTTGCCAATCTAGAGAAACTCAGCTTCGCAACAACAAAGATAACGCCTTCGTTTATTATTGCCAATTAAATCAGGCTTAATCCTTTCTGGAATTTTTTCGAGGAAATAAGTTTTTAAGATTTACTTCGTAATTTTTAATATAGATATTTTGAGTTTTTATACATTTTTGCCTTTTCGCGAAGAGAGAACTGAATTAATTGAATGAGAAATACTGAATCGTCTGTGAAAAACTGTTTCTTTTTTGATTTATTTGCTTAATTTCTTTTATACATCATTCTAGCTTTATTATTTATTATAGTATTTGAATAGAACATGTGGCAACGATTATATAATTTTTCAAATGATATAAATTTTGTGCATTCTGAGTTATAATATGAACGAAATATAATACTGTTAAGTGAACCTAGCGCCAGAGTGTCGCTATGGTAAACAAATGGAATGAATTTTAAAGAATATATTTATTCAACTGTGGTTTATGCGCTGTCGGCGAAGTAGATTTAATTCAATCCAATACTTTTAAATGAAATGCAAGAAAAAATGCGTATAATTTAATATTCCGTACAAGGAAGTCATGTGGTGTACACACCAGATTTTTTTATTAGTTATGCTTTTTTGTGTGTTTATAGAGATTTTAAGCAGTTTTAATCTGTTATGCTGACGTTTAATATGATATATCAAGGTTAGTACACTTGGTTTCACTTAATGGCGTAAACTCGAAATTTTTATCCCTAAGCACGTTTACCTGTATCTGAGTCTTAAAATTATTGACAAACTTAAAAGACATAAATTGCAACACTCAAACAGAAATCTGTCTCCAGGAATTAATTCTGAGTTTATAAAAACTATTTAATATAAGGGATATAAACTATAAACCTTTTCATTATTTTGGAATACAATGAAAATAATTATATATTTATTATTTTTCTCCATATCGCCTTATGTAATTTTGCTGTTCATTTAAAATTTGTATAGCATTTGCTAATATATAACATATGATTTAGCTTTTCAATGTGTTAAGGTCACATTTTTTATTAGGACTCATGGAATCACCAGCTGTTACCGACGTAGAAGATTTCGATGCGGTAAAATCGCTGTATGACGTTTGCGTAAACTACAGTAACTATTTTAGCTTAATTACTCTGGTGATTTGGCTCATTATTTGGATCTAAATTAAAATGTCTTTTTTCTTTTAGGTGGTCTCAAAAATGAGTTTTCATATTCTATAGAAACAGTTCACTCTTTATTGTTACAATTTGGCATCGACACTTGGCCAGTGATAGATATTTTTTATGACGAAGATACAAATTTGTCAGTGGAGGAGAGATTGGTTGGTCTTAATTTAGTAGGAATTCCTGTTGTATTTCAGTTGGAAGTTATTACAGAAGACAACGTTCCAGACTCACACATTTTAAAGGTAAAATTTATCCTTATAGTTTGATTTCCACAATTACGCTCATTCAATATATGCGCTTATTGTAAATTTTAATTTGATGGTCTGTTATTTTATGCTGAGTCATATTTTGCAAATTTAATTTTCAATACGTTTCTTTTTATCTAATAGTTTAGAGATACTGAAGGAATTTTTCACTATGAATTCAATCAATTCTGAGAAAACTGCAATGCTTTAAAGGAAATAAAAATGAATTTCATTAACCTTTTACACGCCAATGTTCCATAAATGGAACATCGAATTTAATTCATTAACAATGACAAACAAATACCGTAAATGTCTCAATTTTATAGTTAACCAGGAAAACAGGGCAAATGTTAAAGTAAAATTCAACTATTAAATTTACACAGGTGGTGACAGACACACCGGAAGAAGGACCTCCGTCCCAGGTCCTCATTATGTGGAACCCATTCAGAGTTTGGAGTATCCAACGTCCGTGGGACTTCGTTCTAGCGGGTGCAACCCCCGCAGTCCCCGCCCGGCTTTTACTAAGCATTGGGCAGAACAGAAACGTTGCGAAATTAATACGTTGTCACATTGCCGCAGGGCACCCCTCCATCGGCAAAACCGTATTGTAAAAAGGTGCTCTGTCCGCTTTGTCAGTCCCCGCCACGAGAACTGAATGGGATCAAACCCCCGGGAACTCATTCGACAAATATACCATATAGCTCCTCCTCAGCCGAAGAAACAGACACGACAGTACCAGTACGGTTCCTGCCAAGCCTGAGCCAACCTGAGTACAATATTCGGGCTCTAGTCCTGTGAAATCAAATTATATACCCCCGTGGTTGAGACTGCCTAGGTACAAATCCTAACCAGTACTTCCCAGGCGTTCGTCTTAGTCAACCCCCGGGGGGGACATAGGTGGTGACAGATGAAAGCGAGTCCGGACACCCAGGCGGCTTATATATATTATTTAGGTGTTGTCTTGAGCCCACAACTGTCTAAGACAAGCAGCTCCTGATTCTGCAAGAGCACAACATCGGGAGTTCATTTAGAGATGTTCTAAAGCATACAATGCCACACAACGGCTAGATGCTAATAAATACAAAGGAATGGTATTTGTTTTATGCAGACAGATGGTATCTAAACAGGACATTTCAGGCATAGATATTGCAGGATGAACAAATAATACAGACACTTATGTTAACAGGCAGTATGTCACTAAGCATCAAATAATACAACTCCAGAGATAAATAATAAAACACTAAAATACTAATACAAACAAGCACTGTTACGAGAGGGACAAGCACTAATTATATAAATACTTTATGCATACTGTGGGCAAAGTGCGCTTATAATGTCTGGCGCAGGCCTTCTCACAAGTAATTATTGCTAACAAATTTAAACCCGCTTCAAGTAATTCACGCGCTGGGAGAGATTGTAGTGAGACGGTCACAATAGCTTTGAAAGTTAAAGTTCTCTCCCACATACGGATACGAATTGTGAAGTTACTTATCTGGCCCCAGAGGTGTGTTTTAATATGCTACATAAGAAAATTAAGACTCTGAGGATACTGACGAGCTAGCAGATGAATCTCCGAGGACTGTCAAGAAAGTAATGCAAAGATGGGGAGATCATCTGTATTGCAAATGTGTACCAATCAGACGTAAAATGATGAGATACAAAAATCATGCGACTCAAGAAAATAAGTAAACGTCAGAAGTACATACCATATTGTGATACCTAAGTATGTGAGTAACTAATGGCCTTACCAAATTATCTCCTCGAGTGATTTGATAATTAAGGATTTCTGGAATTTTGTAGCATTACAGCTAGAGCTAGTTTTGAAGAAACAATTATTTAAAAAAAAAAATCTGAAATTTTTCAGATTTTAAATTACGTCCAAAGGGGCGTTTTTTTAACGTTTTAAGTGTTACCTTTATTTATTAAATATCATGTTCTTTGCACTTAAACCATAAAATTCAGTTCAAGAGCAATATCGCAAAATAATGTTAAATTAAGCATATCTTTAGAATTTCCGATATACACAGTCTCGCGAGCTGGAGATAAAAGTATTTTTTTTCTATATAACGATGCCATTTCTCGCTTTTAAAGCATTGAGTTTGTAAATCAAAAATTCGTTAAAGTTTTACAAAATATAAAATCTATTATGAAACAAATTCCAAATTTGGGATTTCAGATGCCCATATTCGCAGTAGGGTTTCGTCATTCAAAATTCGATGGCTCTATGTACCATTGTTTTATCACAATGCGAGAAATAGACAATCATTTATGCAGATTTTTCATTATTTAATTTCTTCAAATATAATGCAGGACTCTAACATTTTCTGGCAACAGTTTGAAAAGTGAACCGACGTTTCTGAGTCCGACGCAAAATGCCAAAACGAAAGCAATAGTCCTTCGGGACTGAAATCCCTTTGGACTAATAATGTGGTCCCTTATAGAATCGATTTTCAAGTCATTTCAGGTTCATTTTAAGTCTTCGAATCGGTTGTTTCTAGTTAGATAATGAAAATTTCCAGTTGCTCTCAGAATCTTATCCTGCACTACCTGAAGTTTGTGGAAGTCCGCATTTAAGGCTGAAGCCCGGGCTGGAAGTACGATGCATAGAACTGAGCTTATAATGTATAGGTAAATCCTACTCTTTTTGTTGAGATACAATATAGAGTAATTTCCAAGGAACACAGAGTGTTGGTTGGTGATACCACAAGGTTTTCCTATGACGTGCTTGATATGACAAGTCCATGTGAGCCTTTGATTAATGATAACTGCAGATAATTGACATTAATTATCAGCATACAAGTATTCATGATATACAAGTACAAGTATTCATGGTATACAAGTATCCTAGATAAGTAGAATTTATTTGGTGCTATTTGCGTAATCTAGCGCCTCCAACCAATAAGAGTTTAGACATTTAACTGATCTTCCATTTCCTGCACTAGACCTTAGTATTTAAAATAAATTTCCGAAATTTGGAGATGGCATTACTGAGTTAGATGGAGCTAATGGCTACCGGCGTAGCAAGCTAACATAGAATTATGATCCGGTTTGTCTCTCTCTCTAGCTTAAGTACTCTATGTTTAAATGCATTGGTTACAGGACATCGCAAACGAAAACGCCACGGAGAAGACATTGCAAGGGAAAACACCATTGTCTAAAACATAGTAAAAGAAAAGAAAGCAAGGGTAAAACATCACATTTCTAAAACGTGGTATGAGAAAGCATGTTGATCAAAAATAAAGCAATTAAATACATCGTCGTCGAAAAGACGTGGTAAAAAAAAGCCCTCACAAATTCTCGCATAACCAGAACATTGCAGATATGCATTTTTCAGACTTTAAAAGTTGGAAATGCTTAATTCGCATAATGATCTGCGAACGCAAGGTGGAATAAGAAATATCTTTATTTTTATATTTTTGAATTAACTAATAAATATTTGTTGTAAATTTAAGAAGGATCTTAAACATTGAAGAACTGAAAATGAATAAAAAGTTAATGCTACTTTCAGCAGTTAACAGAATTTTATAATTTTATAAATGATTACACAATTTTAAAAGAAGAATCACATACAGTTACTCTTCTTTTCTTTTTCTACTCTTTTTTAGACTATATTTTTCATGAAAATTACCACTAATACTTTATAAAAGAGTTTAATTAATATTAACGACCTTTACTAGTTAATTATACGAATTTGAAATTATATTAACTGCTATACCCAGCATTATTTTTCTACTCATTTTCAGTTTTTGAATGCTTAAATTTACTTTCTTATTTCTTAAGCAAAATTTTATATGTTAATTCAAAAATATGAACTATAAAAGCAACAATATTCCTCATTCCTTCTTGCGCTCACAAATCATTACTCTTCACTAATTAATCATTACTTTAAAGCCTGAAAACGCAAGTCTGCGGTGTTATCGTGGTGCGATGATTTGCAGGTGCTTTAATTTTTACCTCGTTTTTTCGACGATGATGTTTTGAAACTGCGAATGTTTTCGAACCATTTTATTTTCGATGACAATGTTTTGCACCCCGATGTTTTCTCTTTGCTTGCTTTTTCACACGATGTTTTGTATGACGAGCATTCAGCCTTGCGTTCTTTTCTCCGAGACGGTTACGTGCATGATGCATTTTACGCGACTTTTACGACGGACACTAGTAATTTGCATTATGTCGATGTTTTGTATGACGAGCATTTAGCCTTGCGTTCTTTTCTCCGAGACGGTTACGTGCATGATGCATTTTACGCGACTTTTACGACGGACACTAGTAATTTGCATTATGTCGGGAACCGACGAAAGTAGAAATGAATGTGTAGGATTCTCCACTGTGTACTTCTAAGTTACTGTTCGAAGTGCAGAATCTTAAGAACTGATAAGCGAATAATCGCTTGAGTTCGTGTGACAGGAAACAACAAGATAGAAGGGTAAACTAACCCTTTATTATTCCAACTAAAGAATAACAAAACTCTGTCTTGGAGTATACAATAAAGTCCACACTTCGGCTTCAACTTAAGAGGCTAAGAATTAAACTAAACTAATCTTAACTAAAGAGATATAGCCGAAGCTATCAAAATTCTATCAAAGTTGGCCCCTTAAAGCTATTTGACTGCGAAGCTGTCAAGGGCCTAAAATACGGCCGAGCGTAATAATAGCTTAAGAGTATCCTGAAAGGTCATAGAAAACATCGCGTTGCTAATCAGAATATCTGGTGTCTCTCTAAGAGAGTAGAACTTCGCGGTTAAATACCGCTCTTCCTCACTTTGCATTCAAATGTGATTCTAAAACTACGTTCTGGCCAGAAATGATAAGTTGAAATTATAGGAAATGGAACTTTAACTCAAAATTTGACTGTTAATAAAATTAACATAATCCCTACAAATGTTAAGCAGAAATTATACGGAAATTCGTTAATAAGCATAAAATCTACAAATCAAAATGTTAACAATAATAATAATAAATTAATCAAATATATTCATTTCAGTATATATTTGTGTGCATTAATATAAAGCAACGACGCTTGTAAAGAATTAAATAATTTAATTTAAAATTTTTACCTTTTGCTATTTTTCTACAGATAAGGTATTTATTAAGGAATAAATTAAAATTATGACAATTTTTACGTAAACGTGTTCTTAGCTTTCATTCCATCCACTTTCAGCTCTCTCCGGGCGGTCCTCAAGACACAAGCCGTTCACCGGAGGACATACGTTCTGACCAAAGATTGAGATCTCGAATGATTTCTTTTTTCCTCTTCATCGGGGCTTCAGAATCAAGAGCACGAAAAGCTGCTTCTGATATCTTAGCCACTGAAAGTCACTTTGCTGATATTTATTGGGTAATGTAGATCTATGAGATCTGTACACATAAAAATATCATACTTTTTGTGTTTTTGCAGTTCATTTTGTACAACACAGTCATTATAGTGTACGTTTAAATTCGCTCATTATAGTGTACTTAGAACTGCAAGTATCCTGCGAATAGATGATGACTGATGACTGAGCAGAAAGAACAGCTCAGTCATCATCTATTCGCAGTGTTTACAGGAAAAAGCAAAATGTTCAAATTATCCATAGCTGGAATCATTTCTCTAGTTCAGAAGATAAACAAGTATCATAAATATTTACTGAGTAATACAAAAAGCAAAAAATTACTTTTCAAATTTACTAAAATTAAACAAGAGAACGAAAATAATTGCTCAAATAAACTTTGCTACGACCTTCAAAAGGGAACAATTGAGCATATTTCCAGTCCTTTTTTGTATTATTTAATAGGTTTTTATACCGTAATAATTGTTTTCTCTGCTTTTAATTAACAAGGGGAAAACACATAGAAATATTAATCGCTGTACGAAGAGGATCAGATACCTTTAGTTTCTGAAAACAACATAAAAAATTTATATAGCTTTATCATATATCTTTATCATATATGCGGCTTTATCATATATGCGGCTTAAGTGTCTGTTTGTCGCCGATACATTGTTCGTTGCTTGCGTAACTGTACTAGCCAATGGGGTGAAGTCGCCACGGCATTCAAATAGTCCATATACACTGATACCATACATGCAGTGGAGTTACGGGTTCAGTTAAACATTTTGTAAATGAATGTGATTTAACTTATGATATAAGACAAAAGTTTGGACATATTAATACATTTACTGGAAAAAACACTGAATTTGAATTTGCTAGGGAATTAATGAATTTTATTAATAATAATCATGTTAATGTCGGAATTTTGATTTAACATGTGTTTAGTGATTTTATGATAGAGCATGGTCTGTGTCTTGTGTTTTGTCCTTTTGTTTGGTTAGTTTTCTAACTATTGTATTATTTTAATTATTATTGTGCCGTTAAGGTCCATTAAGGTTTATATCCTAATGGGCGTATTTTATTATGTGGTTTTTAACTTGGCGCCCCCCTGGAAAAGTCATAAAATCAAATCGATTAGGTGGATGGGGGGCTGCGCCTCTTTCTGTACCATACATGCAGTTATCATTGTTTTAATTAAATTATCATGGTATTTAAGAACATTTAAATATTTTAATTCATACAATTGTTGCTTATTATGCATTAAACTATATTTGCGTATGAATTACCTAGAAACTTGCAAACGATGAAAAAAAGGAGACGAAACCAACTAACGAGTTGTGCTTGGTACATCTCATCAGGTAGGTTTACCCAAACTCCTATGCTAAACATCATTTCGCGTAAAGAGTTTAAAATTTTGCCCGATTTTATTCCTACATTGTATTTTAAACTGAATTTTCAGCTGAACGCAAATTGAGTGTGTCAGGGGTAACGTGAACATTTGTTTGCATTTAGAAATCATCTGTTTATAATCAATTTATAATCATCGATTTATAATATCTAGAACAGCGGTCATTTCGTATGACCGCCGGCCTTTCTAGCATATAAATAATTGAACTACATGTTTGCTAAATCTCCTTTTTACATTGAATATTTTTGCAAAAATAAGAAAGCCTAACGCTAATACATACGCTTTTACTTTTAACATGTTTCAGTTCATGAATGTAATTTTTTCTTGAAGCCTCTTCATCATCTGAGTTCGTAACTGAAACTACACTGCTCAGAACAACTAGGGGATATTACGATTTTGGATTTAAACTGAGGATGGGGAAATGTTTTGGTGACCAATACATGATGCACATGTGTTGCAAGATATGAGAAAAGAAAAAGAAGTAACGAACAAGGAATAATTAAAATTTTATTAATAGTATTTATACGTGAATAAAAAATACAATTTGAGCATATTATACAAACAAACAAAAATCACAATCTCGGAAACACAAATATCTGGGGAAATGTTGTCCCCTGATCGAAAGCAATGTCACACACCTATAATCAATAAATGAGATTATCAATGAGGGACGGCTTTTTCTTTCCCACTCCTATGGAAGAAGGCTTTTGAATTGCTTAATAGTTTCTAGAGGTGATAAGCGACTAGAAACACTTTTTCCAAGAATGTCCCCATATATTCTATCATATCTGCAGAACGTGCTGGCCAATCCATTCGAAGGATTCCTTCGTCGAAAAGGAAATTGCGTACTAGCTGAGCACGATGTTCGCTGGCATTATCATCTATGAGAATAAATTCATCCCAGATTGCTGCAGCGTAAAGGATCACAATAGCTCTCAGGATCACCTATTGTCTCAGGATGACCATCCCTATACCTGGACCGCTAGTGCTCCATTCCTGATAATATGCAGGTCATTCGCCCATTGGAGAAATACCGAGCCAGACCATCACTTCGCTTCCGCTTAACCCTTTGCGGCACAGTGTGTCCGATCTGGACACTCCTAAAAATTTCCTTCTGTACGCACAGAAAAATTGAATGAAAAAGGATTTATAGGTTACTATAAGTTACTCTGAACCTTCTATATTTATAGTAGATGGCAGCTCGACACAAACCAGTCCATATATTTTAGCCATGTTTAGTTTTTCAAAACCCTCACTTTTCAAAGAAATCTTCCAGATTTTTTTTAGGGTATAAAAAGAATTCTTTGAAAAGAAATTTTTATGTTACTTTTTTGACTGTATGCTAATCTCCTTATTCTATATTAGTTTTAAATATTTACCTTGAAATCTTGCCTAAAATCAAACGGCGAACCGTAGGTCTGCCCAGACCGGGCTCACCGATAATCTAGGACAACTGAGAGTCTGTATTCTTTGTTTCTCCGCATCTCATCGGTCAGTTCATTGACAACAATATACGTTTCTGCACTCTTTTCGAAGCTCTATTCCAATCAGTGTGCCCACTTTGGGCACACCCACAGAATTAAAACGGTAAGTGCTATCCTCACAAAATTTTACTTGTGTATTCCTCTAGGCCTAATTAGACTGCCTAACTTTTTTTCAAAACCCCGAATTTAAAAGGTAGCGTGCCGGAAAAGGTTAACAAAAGGTTTAAATCTCTAATAAATCAGACTAGATCGGATTTAAAGTAATAAACAGAGAGTCTTATTCTATACAACTTTTTTTTTTTTTTTTCTTTTGTAAACACCAAAGGCAAACTACTACATTCCTAGATTCTTTTACAAATAAACACTACCGCCAGCATGAAACTCTAATTGACTAGTACGGACTAGCTGGTTATCATTCAGTGATCAAAAAAGTATATTTTACAGGGGTAAAGACATTTTCACCTTTTATCTAAAATGCCTTTAACCTTCCAGCACGCGCGTATGTGCAAAATTTACGAAAAATTGAGTGTTTAATGCACATTTTTCGCATATTGAAGCTGAGACGTCTGAAGGTCATTTCTCTTCCTCCTTTCTAGCCTTCCCCACATCATGAAATGTGCCAACAGCAAGTCATTTGACTTTTTTTTTAACTGGGCTTTTGTGCTACGTGGCAGCTTTTTCATAAAAGTTACGACACGCGCGTGGTCGTGTTTTAAAATTCGGAAAATATTTTTTTCCTCAAAGATTTTGTAATTTTGTGTTATTAATTGCCGTGTATTATTTTAATTTGAATACATTTGGCTCTGTAAATTTTATATCGGTTTTCATGGCAAAAAAGTATGTGCAACCAGCTGATTTTGCTCGGATTCTTCAAGAATTATCTCATGAAGAAAAGGAAGACAAGGAAACCTTTGGATGGGAGAACAATAGCGATTTCCATTCCTCATTTTCTTTCCATTCCTTATTTTCTTTTATTTCTATTTTTTAGAAACAAATAAAAACATTAAAGTTAGTTTAAAGTGCGTTTTTGTAACCAGTAAGAAGTAAATTTCCTTGCAAAAGTAAGTAATGCTGAACTTACATTTTTTCCTACCAAGGTTTTCCTTTTTTTATTGTCTGTACTTGTCTTTGATGAATATTAAAATTATCTTCGATATTAAAATATAATTATTAAATAATAAATTAAAAATTTTCTATAATGGAATACATCATTGCATTTCCATCTCACTAACAGAAGAACTTAAAAATAATTTACTTATATTCGAATGCGATATCATTTGTATTTTGCAATAATAAGATTAATATTTTATTTCTTAACAAATTTATTATCAATATTCACTCATTTCTGTCGTTTTTCGTGCCAAAAACGGTAAAATAACGGATGTCGTAAAAAATACGATGCGCGTCTGCTCATGTAAAATTGCCAAGCGGCCGTGCTGGAAGGTTAAAGCGATTAAATGAGAACTGAATACAAAAAGAATTTAAAACGTGCATTGCATATTTATTGCTGAACCTAAGGTAACTTTATCATTATAGGAAAAAGATCAAAAGAGGTGCACCGGGTCGCATATTTTATCTTCTGAAGAATCTGTAAGTGAATTAAATAGATTCATACCTGAAGTAAGTGAATTTTAAAATGATTTACTTTAATTATTTATTTTTATTTTTCTCAGTTTCATCCCGTGTTAAAATCTGTAAGGTTGTAATTTATTAGAAATCTTATTTAGCTTAATAGTTAAAAAACCAAAAAATTGAAGAAAGCACTATTTTGGGGTGGTTAGGATAGATTCGAGATCTAAGATTTCGAAGTGAGGTATTTTCTGTTATATATATATATATATATACTTTTGCTATTTCATTTAAAGTTTCAGTATTTTGGGAATTTTTACATGGAGAATCTTCAGTTTTGTGCGCAAAGAAGCTCACCACAGAAGAAAATATTATTAAAAATATTTTGTTATACATTTTGGAATACTAAATTGCGAAAACAAAAATTAGAGTAACCGAAACTTTATTGAGAAATAACATATTAAATTGAAGAATAACTTGTAAAATCGCAGATTGCTCTATAAATAGAAATATTTTGACGGACCTGTATTAAAAAATATGCTGTAAAACTATGTTATTTATATTTGAAAAATCGCTTTTACTCTTCATATTTTCCCTATAACATTTTTACGAATTTTCTACATAGATAGATAATTTTAGTGTAATTATATGTGAAATTTATTTATTTCTTTTGTATAATGTAACATCTTGCAAAAACATATTTGCGGAGCGAAGCTTGCGCAAAAAATTAGAATACAGAGAAAAGTTTATTTAACAATGAATAAATAGGTATCTCCGTAATTTGGCGCAAAATCGCCAAAAGTCGCCAAACTTGTCGCCCATTTGTTCCGATTTCTGTGTCACCGTCATTCTGTGTCATTCTGTGATGTATATTCTGTGCAGCTGTATATACTTTCCAGTAATTTCGAGAAGCAGAAAGTGCTAAAATATCTCGGCGATCAGGTAAAAACTGTATAAAGCCGGAGAAAGCATCAGCTCTCAACTGTTGTTAGCTACTAGTTCAGAGCGACTTAGGAGTATTGAAAGCTTCGCGTTTCAGGTGCGCTTTGCTTGCATTCTGTTGAACGTTCTTCGTAGTTTGAAGTTTGAACAACTGCCCTATGATACTGTGAACACATGTACCATTACTTCTGTGGAAAGTTCCAGAACTCTGAAGTGTTTCTTTTGATGAAATAAATTGTATCAACCTATCATCGGACCAGTGTGCATTCAATCTACTGTGAACCCATACGCAAGAAGTGTGATTTTGGTGTCAGAAGTGAGATTGAATGCCAGTGACAAGAGCGATGGATGAGCAATTAAGGCAGCTGGTGGCAGCCTTTGCTGCATTAAAAGAAGTGATGAAAGCTCTTTAAGAAGGGATGAAAGCGAGCCAAAAAGAGATGAATACGGGTCAACAAAAGATTGAAGCAGGTCAACAGGAAATGAAAAGAGAAATTACTGTCGAAATGGAAAGCACATTTGAAGCTATTAAAGAGAATAGACATGGTTGAAAACAGAGTTGGAAAAATTTAAGAAAGAATTTCTGCCTTCGAAGAAGAAATCAAACAAAAAATTGATGAGAGGGTTTCTTCTGCCGTCCTAAAGAAGTTGAGAAAGAAATGCTTAGCGACAGCAGAAAACAATTCTCGTGGTTTAAATTTTTAATCATACCTTCTCGTTTCTCTCCGAAGCTTTCCACATATAACGGTAAGACCTCCTGGTGAGTGTATAAAACACAATTGCCTATAGTGGCGGATGCAAATTGATGGATTCGCAAGCTAAGGCCTGTCATTTCGCCGCTTCTTTGCGAGCAGACGCAGCAGATATCTTTCAAAATTTTCCCCAAAACACAAGACTAGACTGCGAAGCTCTGTCCGGCGTGTTACAGCTGCGCTTTAGAATAAGGAGTTTAAAAGATTATAGAGGCTTCAATTTGTTGTATTTAAAGATTTGGTGTTTTTTGAAGAAACTCTGTCCGGCGCGTTAGAGCTGCGCTTTGGAAAGAAGGGTTTAAAAGATTATAGAGGCTTAAATTTGTTGTATTTAAACATTTGGTGTTCTTTGAAGAATCTCGAGAGTTACGCGTAGTGGTGATTGTAAAACCAAGGTTCTCTCCTACAGAAGTATAGACTGCACTACGTTGAAAAATTAAAAATAAAATTTAATCAGTGTCTTTCTATCCCTAAGATTTAACAACATAGATGAACAGACGTGTCAGATTATGACGCATTAATGAACTTATACGATGGATAACGTACGAATGTACTAGATTGGTACACTACGAATTGATCCAGCTGAACAGTCCTTTTCATATAGGCAGGTATATGGCGATGCAGATAGATAATCCAGAATGCTTGAGTAGATTCTTTTTCTCCACCGAACTATTCTATAGTAGGGCTTCTTGTATCACATTTCTGTGCCACGCTTAAGAGAATCACAGCGGATGGCCACGTCGGCAAACATCATCAGATAGACGTCGCAGGGAGGTCAGACATCAACACCATCAGAATCGGGAAGACAGACTACCCTTTCTCTGTTTGTTTCTCCTGATCGATAGAACCTTCCGCACAGCTATATAGTTCGTCTTTTCCGCTCAACGCAATCGCGGACGGGAGAAATGCGAATTTCTATCTCTGACACAATTAAAATTCCGTAAACAGAAGCCCACGAAAACACTCCACGAACTTGCTACCGGACTTCGAAAACCTGTCTCATCTTGCCCTATCAAAGTATCGCCAGAAACAACGGAAATCCTGTGCCTGCAGTACTTCCTTTTCCATTTGATTACATCAAATTAATGCATTACAAATGGCTGCTGAATTATGATGATTTGAAATCGTCACACTCTTTATGCATAATATTATATCATGTTAGAATATCTGCTATAATGAAAAGTGTTAATCTGCTTTATTTATTATACAGTAACTATATCTTATGCTATTAAGATCTTTATGATTTATTTAAATTTTATATTAACGATTCTATGGTAACTCTCTTCTCCGACACACATCAAAATATCATCTTTATAAAGTATTTTACTTTTTCGTATAGCTTACATTTATTGTTTCCTTTTTCAGGGCAGCAGAACATTTTTATGCTTCTGCAACATTCTACTTAGAAAAATATCCAGTTAATTATTTCTCATTTTAATTATTTCTATGTGATAGGAGTTATTAATTCACAAGCTCAAAGCATTAATGGTGACTGCTTTTATAACTAAAATGGGATAAATTCAATAAAAAAATTTAAATAGTAATAATCCTTACTAATATTAAAAATGCGAATGTGAGTTTATTTGTTTGTTTGTTTGTTACGCTTTCACGCCTTAATTACTTATCCGATCGTCATGAAATTTTCAAGAAATATTTTTGATATATTAGAAAAGTTTACAGGGTCATAAAATGTCTTCGTACGACTTTAATTTATCGCGATATTAATTCAAAACTACTTTTCCCCTTACTTTGATGTGTTTTTCCCTATAGGAAAGGGATTTGGCTATGCGCCAATTTATATTTTCACAAATATCTATGGAAGGGCGAATTGCGATAATTTTGAGACACATATCCCCTGATTCCAAAAATTCATCGGAATCCATCGATACCATTCTCATCTTCGTACGACTTTAATCAGCTGAGATAGTAAGTAAAAACTCTGAAAACACTAATTTGAATGCGACTTAACAGGGATATTAGGGATTTTTTCTTAGGTCTTCCCGTGTGGGTCCAATGAATTGGTGATACAAATTATAACTTTTGATCTAATTATCCAAATTTCTCGAAATTTTGAAACTTGTATTGCTCTCTGAATGATAGGAACAATGTTGGTGTAATGGTTTTTGTTGCTTAATTATTTCCAGCTTAATCACAGATGAAACAATACTTCGCTTGCTATTGTTAACAGGCTGCGATTGGAAAGCGACGGAGGGGTGGGGGTAGCTTGTATCCGGCCGACCGTTGGGTTGGCAAAAAGGTCAAAGTTCACGGATTTACACGTGGAAAATCATTTTAAAATTAATGACTTCTAATTCACTTACCGACTTGAAAAACTATTATCAACATTTCGACTTTTGTGAGATATTTAATGTTTTGTTTCGTATTTTTTAAAGATCTCTTCATTCGTGTTATATATTTCTGTTACTGTTGCTTGAAAAATTGCGTTTAAATTTTATATTTTTTACATTTTACTGTGTGTGATAAAAATATTTTTTAATCATATTAAGGGGCTCGAATGTTCTTTATTTCTAAAAATAACCCTTTGGTCAAGCGTAAATACAAAATATCCGCGGCCTATAGATATTGAAGAAGGGCAGTATTTACAGAAATTTTACGCTGAGTATATTTTTAAGATTCAAGCGGAGTTGAAACTTATTTAAGGATATCAACGCGAGCGAAACCGCGGGTAAAGCTAGTAAATAATATATTGTTACGAAATGTACAGGCGCGGTAAGATGGCTTCCCCGCAAAGCAGCTTTAGGGGTGCCATAAAATCACAATAAATGCAGGGTTGCCACATTTGGCAAGAAATCACCCATTTGGAGACAAAATTGGAGATATGCCATGGATGGATGGAGAACCTTCTGGAACGAATTCTTACCGGTTTAGTCCAGAATGTTTTGAGTTGACAGCCGGGCAGCGAGTGTCGAGTGTATCGAAGAGTCTCTTAGTGTACAGCGGTTAGTGCATCGTCGAGAGAGAGAGTGTTGAGCTCCGGGAACGACGGAACCAATGAGTAGAAAGCCGTGCTCTGTGTGTCGTCAAGTTCATCGCGAGTTGTAGCGTGGAGAATCTCGAGAGTACGTGGAGTTCCGAGAACAACCAAGCAGAGTCGGGAGCTGTACTCTGGTGCTTTGCAGTGAAGTTGTCTCCACCGTGATAGCTGGATAACCTGAAAGCTGTGTCGCTGATCGTGTCAGCGTGTTTATAACAGTTCGATGACTGTAAACGAGATTTTGTAGCTGTCCTGATTAATACGGGCCAATAAAGTGTGTTTCGATACTTCATCAAGTGTCGTCGTTATTCACTCCAAATCCACACGAACTCGTAACGAACATACCGAGTGAAGAAAATAACGTAACAATATTTGTATATCAATATCGTTTCCCTCATTTCTGGAGACAGTATTTCTATTTATTTCTTAAAATAAGCTTAACAGTCTATTGTGTATATTAGTGCCTTTTAAGCAATTAATGTTAATGGTTGAATTTTAAATGCGCAAAGTTGATCTGACCTTTTATTTTTAGTTGAACTGGACAAAAGTAATGAATGTCTTCTGGAAGGCTACGGGTATAGCAAGACCATACACGATGAAATTGTACTGCAAGGAAAAAATTCGGGATTACATGACACGTCTCCTCCAAAACCGAAACAGGTAGATTTTCACTTTGCAAAATTCGTAAAAGCGTATCTCTTTCGATGCATTAAGAGGATGCTAATATGTTTATACATTTTTTTTAAATATTAAAGTTTTGATGGAGGAATTTCAATTCCTTTTGGAGTGACGAAATTATGTAAGTTTCCTTTCATTCATTTGAATGTTTACGTAATTCTAAATATCGCTAATATCTTTCAACAGACCTTAAAAACTTTTCAATAATTTTAAAATTGATAAAACTAACACTTTTACTTTTTCACTTCGAAAACTCCTAAAGATAAGAAAATTATTCCCTTTAATGGAAGGTATTTTCCTTTATTTTACTTACACTATATATACCATTTCTGAAAAGGGAATGCTAACAATGACAACTTCGACGGGCTTTTCTATTTGCTATTGGTATTAGATTTTCACTGGTGATTAAAGCTTTCTTATACGTATGTTTATGCAATAAAGACAGTTTTTCACAAAAATGCTTTAATATTATCATGCTTTAGGTACTATCGGAAAACTTCATACATCAGAAAATATTGATTGAATGTTTTGCATCATGAAATGATTTCTTTCGAACAGAAGATTAAATATTTTCCATTTAAAAAACTTGATATTTTTCTTTCAATGGCCACATCGCCATTCTGAAAGGAAAGCTGATATGAATATAAAAGAAAAAATTAAAAGTTGTGTAGAATACATACAAGGAATAAGCTACGCTTTTGAAAAGCAAAAATTCATTTTTGAACAAACCGCCAATCTAGCGACAGCAGATTTTGTTACACGTTTCCATGATGCTGATTAGTAACAATTCATTTTCGAAAAAACCGTCAATCTAGCGACAGCAGATTTTGTTATACGTTTCCATGATGCTGAGTAGTTAATAGGTTTTTCGGAGCAAACCTAATCAAAAACTATTTTAAAGAACTCTTAAGATAAAGATAAGAAAGTTTTGAAGAATATGAAGTGATTCTGAAGATGAAAGCTACTTTCTCGAGACTTATAGAATGCATTTTTAGCTTCGACACTCTAGCCACAGCAGGACTATTAATTGTATCTGTTACCATCTAACACAACCTAGATAATTTAACAGTTTATAGGCAAGTCACTTTAAGGCACCATCGTCTGTGTCAAAACGTGTCCATCAACTGAAGAATAATAAGATTCATGACAATAGCAGTTCGACCCAGTTTCTAACACAGGCGATGGAGTTTTGGTGGCTTCTTCATGCGTAATACAAATATGAGCCAATTATCCTTTGTGCGATGTGGTGAGCGTTGTTTAGCGTAGTAAGAAATGAGATGCGTTATTAACAATATAATTTAATCATTTATTCTTAGCGAGAACAGAGACAGCGTTAATTCAGCGAATACATGTTGCGTGAGCGTTCTACTGCGTAGAAGAATAATATATCTCAGTTGCCAATTCTCAGAGACTAAACTTTACATTATTTCTCGTTGCCAGATGTAACAGATTAACATAACAAATGCACAATAGCAAAAATGCGACGGGAAAGTGCTCCGTTAGCCAAATGATAAAGTTACACGTACGGAACATCCTTAAAAGGCTATCGAGGAACTCATCACTTCCATCAGGCAGATAGCCTTATGTGCTTTGCCATGTACAGTTAATCTATACTGGTCAAACTTGTGTCCATAATTATACGCTCTTACTGCTATTCCTGTTTCTACTTCTGAAAAGGTGAACCTTTTCAAATTAATATTTTTATTCTTTGATTTTTAATGACAGGGAGGATAATAACAACAAGCAAAATTTATTTTTGGTATCATAAGTCATATAGATGTTCAAAATTACAACTGTTGCCAGTAATACATTGTATGCAGTGTTGTAAAACAGATTAGTAAATAGAAAATCTGATTTCAATGGAAAAATGTATTATCGATGGCATATGTCATGTCGGCCAGTGCCCATGGTTTCCTAGACGATTTTCTGAAAGTTGCCGAAGTCGCCTCCACAACGACTTATTATCTTCTTATTGTACGTTATTTTCTTCTTGTTGCCCTATCCTGCCATCTTTACATAACACACAAATTATTTGACCTCTTTATGATGGCGAAATTCTGTCCTCCATGGTCATTTCTGTAATTCATAAAACTTAAAATTTTAATCTCTCCATTGATAAAATTCTATTTTTCATCTGCTTTGTACCATATGCACTCTTAGTTTTCTAGTAACATTTTGGAAGTGCTCTTGTCTACTATTTCAAATGTAATAATGCCTGCAAGATGATGATGGAAAGTAATAATACTTACCTGCATCAGAATGCTTAACGTCCTTAACCACAATGTAGATATTTCACTTCAAATACTAAGCCCACTGGAAGCATTTTCCATCTCTTTCAAATGTTCAAAAGGAATATAGATTAATTTGGAACACTCTATATACGATACGTTTTCTTTCTCTCTTTTATAAGAGGTGCCTTAACCACATTATTTCTTTAATTAGATTTATTGCAGATTTTACATAATATTTGATATGACTTACTAGGGGTATTTTTGGATTGTAATATGCAGAACTCTTTTTCTTATATGTTTCTCATTTTACTTAAAAGTTCTATATACCTGCTACATATGTATACAGCTATCCATCCACATTTAATATGAAAAATATATCTGTAACCTAACGGTGAATGGCAACAGTCAGAAAAAGTTTAAAAAAAAACGGTTAAAAAAAAATACTAACAAGTCAACCCAGGACCGTTTCTATGCCTTTGCCTGCCTGCGTACTTTCCTGAGATTGACGCCTCCCAAATAAAAAAAAAAGGCTCGATTAATAAAATTTTTATTTCATATAGACAGTTTTCTCCATAAAGTACTTATATATGGCAAAGTGTATAAAAAGTACTTACATATTACAAGTACTTACAATGAATTTAAAACATTTAGGCGTGGTATCGCGAGAGTCCGGCCGCCCCTGATTTTGGTCGCCCGCGTACTTTTACGCGCTGCCCCCCCCCCCGCTAGGAAAGGCCCTGAGTCAACCGTTAGTTAGAGATTCGACGGATTTTTGCATGGACATAACTTTTCCTCTTGTCACAGAGTAAATTTCTTTATATTATTTTTTATTAATTTTGGCATGTAAGTTTCTTTATGAAGTGTTTGTGTTGAATCAAATTCCTTTTGTCAAATGTCCAAAGTTTGTTTCGGTTAAATTATTAACAGTTTTACAGCTAGCCGTGAATACAACGCCACAAATCTTATTTATTCCTAGTCTTTTACTCAGTATAATTAAATATTGCGATTTAAATCCCGTTTAATGCTGTTTAACTCCTTGTTTCGTAGGAATGACATTTGGGATAGGACTGTTGTAATCGTTCTAATTATTTTTAAAATAATATTAAAGGAGTTTTAAGTTTTAAAACTATAATGATTTTTAATATGGTAATTCTTTTACAGGTCGTGTTACAACTACCTTGGCTGGCGGTTTATAGCTCAGTTCTCCAGACATATTGAACCATCATTCCGCTTCAGACTGGACCCCGCCATTCCTAGATGGAAAGAATGCATTTCTTTATTGGAACAGTTTGCATCACCTTTTCTAGCAGAAGCACTGAAAAAAACAGAAATCAAACAAGAAATTCAGGATACGGTAATCAGTTTAAAATGTGTTCTGCCAGTGCCATTTAATGTTTCAGTTCTTATACCAAAATTAGCCTAAATGCTATATTTGTAAAAGCTTAACTTTGAGCCTATCAGGTGAAAAAACAAAAATCTACTATTGTGTTGACTGACAGTTAGTTCAGTGGTATGACATTTAGAAAATATACAGGAATTAATAAAATTAGGCAAGACAGCAATAACAGTTTACTCAAAATCTGATTAATAAGTTTCCATATTAACAAAATTGGTAAAAGAATGCTCCCTAAATGTTCATGAAGCGATGCACTTTGAGCATCGTATTCTGAAAAACATTTAGTTTCTGTTCAATGTTTGTATGTTCTTGTGCTTTAATTGTGTAGACTCTGTACTTGGTTTATTTCATGTGACAAATTAAAACCACAGAGTAAATGTATTCAATAAATTTACTTTTCTGTTATAATTCTAGTTCTTTTAAGTAAATCTGGGTTAGCCTTTTTATAGTTGCTTGCGTTCCAAAACCATTCTTTGGCAAATTTATATGGTAAATCACAAAAGGAACTTTTGACAATTTAAAGGAAATAAAAGAGAGGCGTTAAAAAAAAAGGCATCATTTCAGTCAGTGAAGTTCTATACAGCAATGTCGTTTTTGCTGTAAAGAAGCTAAATCATTCAATGCATTAATTTGAAATGTATTTTAAAATTCCTACTGAAAAACCTCTTCTAGCAATCCGATTTTTTTTATAACATTAGCAAGTAATTTTGGTTAAAATACACGCCGAATAATGATTATTGGAGAAGACAAACAACAAGAACCAGCGTTGTATTTGTAAATTTTGCAGGACAAGTTTCGATGGTTTAACTACAGAACCATCGTTCGTAGCTACCAAAGTGCAAATGAACGAGATAAGGTAGGGTGACTGGGCAGGATTTAAGATACTGGTACCATTTATTGATGAAAAAGAAAAACTAAAAAATAATTTCCTTAAAGGCTGAATGTAAATACGGGTTGGAGCTATGGTCGTTAACTAGAACAGAAAGATTTCTTTGAACGTGAAACACCTCTGGAAAATCTAATTCACCAATGGTAGATTTTTTAAAAAAAATAATTTTGGCTGCAGAAGAAAAGAAATGCGACTTTTGCTGTGCACTAGAGAACTTCTGCGGTTCCTTTTTCCTAAAATATGCCTTATGTTCTTAACCTCGAAATTTTAAGGATGTCTTAGTTTAACCAATGTAAATTAAACCACATTGACAAGGAATCCTGTAAATACCCCAGGAATTCGTATCCGGAATGGAGTCCTTAAGTATGGAACTGGGAATTTTATTGATGGGAGAATAAACGACCCGGAAGTTGAACTTCTGTAAAATACGCGCAATTTTACAGCTAATTGATGGAAAGAAAGGAATGACAAAAGAAGTTTTATAATCTCCTAAGAATAATTATAAAAGTGTGTCTTTTGGAACGTTGAGATGAGAATATTTTAACAATATTTTAACTAGTGGGTTAATAATGCTGAGTGAAAAGCCCCTGTCGGTAGCAACTGCTTTTAAATAATTTAGTTCTTAATTCAGATTAATAGAGGGGCAAACGTAAAGTGCATGTAAAGCAAAGGAATAAAATGAAGCTAGCTTCTGTTTAGTCGGATGACATGATTTGAAACATGGAAGGTAAACCGATGAAGGCTTATGGTAAACAGTGTTACAGAAACTGTATGTATTACGTGTGACCAAAATGTCGAAGAACGGAAGAGAACTGGATGTCTCAAGTTCAAAAGTGAAGTGAGCAGCAGGATCAGTGGAATTCATTATTGAAAGAATTTTATTTAAATCATCTTTATGACCGTCAAACAAGGTAAAAATATCGTCTACGTAGCGTAACCACACCGGGAAGTTTAAAGTTTCAAATCAATTTGATTAATAATAGTGCATGTGGATATCAGCCTGGATAGGACCAAGAGGGCTTCTCATGGCTAATCTCTCAGTTTGCTTGTAATACTAATTTTGAAAAACAAATTGTGTTTGTTTCAAACAGACTTGAGTAAGGGAAATTAGTTTATCAATTTCGATGCAGGAGAAATGAAATTCACCACTTTGGCTTCTAGATACCTTATTGCACCTTCCACTGGAACACTGGTGAATAATGATTTTACATCAAAAGATACCATGAGTAAATTTATAGGAGAAATGCTTTTTAACTTTTTAACAAACTCAATTGAATTTTTTATGATGTAAGTGTTATTAACTAAAAGAGTTGAAAATCTAGAAACTAAATATTTACCTAACGTGTACGAGGTAGTGCCTAAATTTGATATAATAGGGCGGAAAGGAATACCACACTTATGAATTTTGGCATGAAGACACTTATAAATTTTGGGCAGAGTATATGATCTGGCACAATTTGCAACAGATGGTATAAGCGATTGTTTTAAGTTGGTCGAATGGATTTATAAAGATATGATTTCGGTTTTTATTTTTGAGAGGTTCGAAGGTTGAAGTGTCCTTAGGGATCAGGTTATATGGTGCTTCGTTTAAAGGTTTACTGAAACCATCGATGTAAGTGTTTTTGTTCAAGACGACTATCTGGCTTTGAAATGATAATGGCTGAATTAGAATGAAGTTTGCCCATTGTAACTCTTTCTCAAGCGTTTATATTTAGTTTCAAAGGATTATTATTGAATTTCACATTATGGGCGATAAAACGCCTAATTATTTCTGAGTATTTGAAACTTTACTAAATTTGATTTTCGATAGAAGCCATAATCTTTGGAATCGAAGATTTTGAGGTTTGTGACAAGTTAAAATTATATTTCAGACGTCTCTCTTGTTCTTCTGATAAACTAACACTAGAAATACTAATTATTGGCTTAATGTTTACAATGGGAAGATTTTTTGAACTGTTTGAACTGGAAGACTGTAAAAGAGGTTTTTCGAATTTAACTGCAAGGGTGTTTTTATGACGGTTAACAACATTCTACGTTCTAGACCAAGACTTTTGTTCAATCTCAGTGAATTTTGGATATGAATTAGCGATATGAATGCAATTTTTGATATGAATGCAAGTGTGTTTTTATGACGGTGAACTGTATTCTTAGTTCAGTTCTCCAGTACTTAGTAAGTAAATTTAAATTTGCCTTATACAGCTGAGCTTCCAAAAGCCGAAATTAAAAGCTTTAGAGAAATATCTCGGATGTTTAAAAATTCGTATTAACAATAATTAATAAATAACTTAATTAATTAATAAAATCCTAACTAAATAATAAACCAATACTTTATAGTAATTATAGTGTGCATAAATGAGAAAACTAGTTTTATGAAGAAACTTAACATATTTAATATCAAGAATATCCAACATTTAATCATATATTTGCAATGGAAAAATATGACAGAAAAATTAGTATAGTGGCCTACAATCATATGGATCTGATGAGGAAACAATATGTTTTCTTGATACCCATGTAACAGAATTCCCTTTTAGTAGCATGAATGTCGAAGCACATTGATGTAATCAATGCAACAATAGTACATTTTTATAACATTACTTTTTATTTTCTTTTAGAAAATATTTAAACGTTTTAAAACATAGACAAAAAATGTAAACAATCAAAGAACATTAATGTGTTTTATTCTATTAAAAATGTAACCTGCTTTTCTTAAGATAATTTCAATCTTCTATTAAGTGCATTTTTAAGTACTTCCAAGAAAATGAGTACAGTAATAAGTTTGAATCGAGACGTTGCTAAGATCTTCCAAGGCCTTTACAACGTTAAAAAACACAGTGGTTACTTGGTTTAGCAGACTACAGGATATAATCTCATTAACTATGCAAAACTGATGTGCTGTTGAAGCTTTTCTCCGAAATTCGCATTTTTGAGTAATGAATATTCTTTTCAAGTTTAGATACTGAATATTTAATTCTTTGCCGAAAGGAAACCTTTAGTTCGATTTACGAAATTTTTGAATTATCGAAGCTAATGTTATCGAAATTCGACTATACGTAGAGGAAAGAAATATTTTACAGATCAATAATGTTTATTTAAGAGTATGCAATTAAATATTGCAGAGTAATAGTAAACGCTTAAAATTAATATTATAGAATAATGTTTATTTTAAGTGGATGAAAAATGGTGTGGTATAAATTATAATAAATATTCATTTCGTATTCTATATATCTCTTTCAACTTACACCTTTCTTGAAACTTGCATACACTGCTAACTTTCACATGCAACTTTTTTGTAGAAATTAAGACTTCGCACGAAATAGCTTTGATTCAAATAAACTTTTTTTTTATTTCCAAAGAATAGTCTTATAAACCAGTGTAATAAGTGAGTTTTGTAGTAGGCTTTTAACAGCACCTAGTTTTGAACATATTAATTACAAAATATATTAAGAAATAAGGGAACAGATTTTATTTCTGCTAAGAAATTGGTAATACAATTAGTATTACTAAATTTTATTGTGCTTGAATTATTAGTTGAATTGTGAATTTATACCATTATTATGTTTTTTATTTAAAAAAAAAACTCTCGAATATTAACTTTTAACACCGGAGAAGATCGAAAAAGTCTAGACAGTACAAGTACATAGCATTTCTTACTACTAAGTATATTTTTTAATTTTTCTGTCAGTATATTATCTGAGTTATTATTCTCTTTGCCGATCATGTATAAATACCATTAATAAAAACTACAAAACTATAGTCTCTTACATTAAAATAGTCATTTCAAGTCCGTTGCCCTCCCTATTTGCCATCGTAGCTCATGTCATTATCACAGCACAGCATTCATTTTCTCCACATCATTTGAGATTGTAGTTCGAGTCAGCTTTCATTCCCATACTTTCCATGAAGAAAACACACACTAAACGGATATGAAGTGAGGAAATAAAACTAACGAATCGATCTTTTCTCCCCAGCTGTTATTTACATGGTTGCGAGTCAAATAAGGCGACTGAAAATAACGAAGAATTTTCTATTTCAAGGTAAGAGACTGTTAGAGACAGCATTCTAGTTTTCCTTATAATTATGGTAAGTTTTTCGAGTTAATTATTTCGGGGAAAAGATTTTAAAAGTTTTTTTAAAGCAACTTTGACTGAGAACAATTATTGCACTACATAGGAATTATTGTTGGGGTACATAGGAATTATTGCTCTACATGGGAATTATTATTAGGGTACATAGGAATTATTGCTCTACATAGGAATTATTGTTGGCGTACATAGGAATTATTGCTCTACATAGGAAAAGTATTATTTGACTATACAGGAATTATTTTAGTGATGAAAAACAAGAATGAAACTTTTAAATTCATTCGTGCTAGGTTAGATATGAAAAGGCAAGTTTTTGAATTCTTAAGGTTTCTAGAACTGTATTGCCCTATACATAATTCTGTATTATCGTTCTTACTTTCATTACCAGGTTGAAAAGGTGTCTTCATCAATTTTTTCGAGCATAGATCGCTTGTTGTCCAAGACGAAGTGGATGAGTTCCAAGATAAAGAATCAGTTTCTTCAAAAGGTTTCTATTGTTTAATTATATACATACTTTCATATTTATAGTTCTCTGTATATTATTAATGTAACCAGTTTAAACTCAGGAATCAACTTTAAACAACCAGTTTAAACTCAGGCCCATTTTCAACTCTTCTAGGTAAACATGATGGATTTAAGATTCCCATTTAGGAAGGAGGAAAACATCAGCAGAACATTACTCTTTAAAACTTCCGAAGTAATTGTGTTTTTATTCTAGTCTTCTGAAGTGTAGTTTATAAATCATGTCTCTCCTTACATTATCTCTGTTTCTCTATATTTAGGGATAAAAAGCTGTAATGAGGAAAACAAAGTATGTTACCAGATCACTATAGTATATGCAAAAAATACGCAGAACGTGTTATTAAAAAAAATCTGAAAGTTTTCAGATTTTAAATTACGTCCAAAGGGGCTTTTTTTAACGTTTTGTGTGCTACCTTTATTTATTAAAAATCATGTTTTTTGCACTTAAATCATAAAATTCAGTTCAATAGCAATGTCGCAAAATAATTTTAAAATGAGCCTATCTTTAGAATTTCCGATACACAGTTCCGCGCCGCTGGAGATAAAAAGGTTTCCCTCCTTTTCCGTAGAATGTTGCCATTACTCACTTTTAAATCGTTGAGTTTGTTACTCAAAAATTTGTTAAAGTTTTACAAAATATGAAATCGATAATAAACTAAATTCCAAATTTCAAATTTGGTCTTCCACATGCCATATTCGTAGGAGGATTACGTTTTTCGAAATTCGATGGCTCTATGTAGCGTTGTTTTATCACAATGCTAGAATACACATACATTTATGCAGATTTTTCATTATTTAATTTCTTCAAATATAATGCAGGACTCTAACATTCGGTGGCAACAGTTTGAAAAGCGATTCGCCATTTATAATGATTCAACGCAAAATCACAAAACGAAAACAATAGTCCTTCAGGGACAAAGCCCCTTTGGACTAAAAAAAAAAAAAGAATAAAAAATAAGAGATAAATAAATATTAAATTGGAAAATTTATGCATCCATTATGTTGGTTATATCGAATAATTTCAGTATTCTCGTTATTTTCCCCATTGTGAAGGCTGTTAATAAGTAGATATGAGATAAAAGAATGACAGAATGCATAGTTTATGCATTAAAAAAATATGAATTAACAAAACAAACAGAAAGAAACGTAACTGAATTTAATAGAAAATTAAGAGAAAGAAATGTTATTGATCCTAAGTTAGGAGGTACTATTTTACAAATAAGATTTGCATAAATCTCTCTCAACTGTGCACATTATTTACACGAGAACTATTTATAAACCAAGGTTAAAAGTAAATATATAGTTAAGAAATGTGTAAATTAAAAATAATCTACAATACCAAAGCATAATTAAATAATAACGAGGATTGTATATAAATTGAAATTGAAGGCTATGTATTGCGTATTCAAACTATTTATCTGCAGCTTAACACACTTCTGTAAAGTACATTTTATATTCAAGAATATTTCACTATAAAATTCACTATTCTATGACTGAAAAGGTTTAGGTTTTATTTAACACGTTGATGGCGGCGCATATATTCATTGTTCTTATCGTGCGGCGACGCTTGAATTAGCAGTCCGTTTCATTATTCGTCCGTTTTGTGAATCCCCCTAGAGAAGTAATAATAACAAAAAAAGAAAAAATATTTTTTTAATTCGTACGAAGGCTCCGCGAGGAAAACGAGAAAGCGATGCAAAGAATGCTATAAACGCTTAGCAAGGCACTCAGTACGCTACAAATCAGAAAATAGCAGCATATTGTGATAATTGTAAGGGTAAGCTGGTACTTTGCTTAGCCTGCTTTAAAAAAATTGAATAGAAAATATCAATAATTATATTTAATTTAGAAGTTACATATTAAGTTATTTGTTTTGTATTGAATGTTTCATTATAATGTTGAAATGTTAATGTATAATGTTGAATAATTAAAATAAAATAAAATTTTGTACTACGTAGTTTTTGATATACAAGCATGACCCTTCGGTGAGCCAGCCCGCGGAACAATCAAGCATGACCCACCGGTGGGTCATGCTGTCCCTCGGAGCAGGCAAGTATGACCCACAGGTGGGTCAGGCCGGCTTCAACTTGTTAAGCTTCCTAGCACTCTTTTCACAAGTAAAGAAACGTTGTTAGGGTAGTCATAAGTGTTTTTTCTTTATAACTACTTTGTTTCTATCAGTACCTCAAAAGATATTAGTGGAGCTCCATTTGGTTGTTGTCGATCTATTCTATGACTGAAAAGGTTTAGGCAGATCTTATTATTCTGCTGCAATCATAAAACTCATACAGCGATAACTTCATCCGCTTTTCATTTTCGTTAACATTAGCTCGTAGATTTTAAACTATGATAGAGATAATCCGAATGATTCACTTCGGTAGAAAACAGGCAAACGTAATACCATCTTTACTGATAAGCTTCAAACATAACTTTTTTATCACATCACTGCGGGCTACAAGTGTGAAATGTTTGTTTTCAACGAGTACAGTCACAAAATACGTCTATTACTGACAAACTTGGTTTAGACAGTAATATTCAACACGCAAGTCAGGGACCTCTTTCCCTGATTTGTCTGTTGATTGATAAATGTCCCGTAATGATGAATGAAGCAGTTCGATGTGGGTGTTAGTCAAGAAATTGAATCTGAAATTTGAAAATCTCCATGGGGAAAATTCAGCTGCTACGTTTTTCTCTGTCCTCAGCAACAGAAAAATATCTTGGCGGTTTTTTTGCAGCAAAATCAAATCTGTGTATAATAAGAACTATATGTAATTCAGGCCGCCCAGACGGTATAGTGGTTAGGGAAGCCTGACTGCGATACCGAAGGGCCTGGGTTCCAATCCCGGAGAAGGCATGGTTGTAACTGTTCTTCCCCTTCATAGCAGGCGATGGTGGCCCACCTATTAGGTGCCTACGTAATAAAGAGACCACCACATCTGGCCTTGTATAGATTAATGGACTGGGTTACACTGTAACTGTTGACAATCTGCCATTGGAAAAAAATATGTAATTCAAAAATACCTCCCGGTTCTTTCTCTAACATTTTATAGTACAGCGTTCAGTTTTCAATTTTTTTTTCAAACCTCAGCGCTCAATTTTCACCTCAGTATACTCAGTAACTACTGCAATTTTTACTTTGTTAGGGGTTTGGCAGAAGTTTTGTATGAATGCTTTAGAAATAACATTTCATCTATGGGTATGATGACCGTTCTTACAGTGACCGCTATTTAGGGGGTTGCAGATCAATCTTTTTCGATAGAATTTATCGCGTTTTCTGTAAATGGGTGAAGTAGAAGATGACGAAAATTTATTTCATGGCTCACACTATACTTCCTAGCATCTAACGATTCTCAGTTTGCCAGTCTTATTTCACAATTCATTTCCAATGACAGCCAGTTAAATTACCAGCCATAAAATCAAGGGAATCTTAGTTCAAATTGCAATCATAAATTTTGCAAGAGAACAGTATTAAAACACCCTCTTTTACACCGATTGAAATGTTTAAAATTTGGTAAATGCGCACTTTTATTTATAAGGAAGAATTTCATTAAATCTGGTACTATTTGGTCCATTTCTTAGATATGCAGAAAGTGAGAACTGTGAATAATCTAAACAGTAATCTGAATTATCCTGCATTCGAACTCTATCTTTGGTAGTAAAAATAAGTTCAACTATAAAATTAGCATTTTTAGCCGTTAGGCTTTAATTTTAAACACGAAAATAATTGTCACGAAAATGCTTTGAATCAGCAATCAGATAAGGTATCGATGAAGTAAAATTCATGAAGTGTTCATACAGAAAAATAAAATTATTTGAAATGAAATTTGCCCTTGCTGCTTTATTAAGCTTTGCCCCAATTCATGAAATATCACATAAACCTGTGCATGTAATTTTAATTGTTTTAATTTCTAAAGTTATCAGTTTATCCTGTGTAAGCAAATGGATGTTATCCTTAATACAGATAGAACCTGAAAATTATTCTGGAATCGTCATTAATCTTTACAGACAGGTGATCATCGAAAAGTTGAAAAAACTCACGCCGACAAAGGATACAGTTGAAATAATTGAACCTGGGTAAGATAATATTTTTCTAGTCTAAAAAATAAACTTCTTTAAAATTATCACTATTATTTTATTTAAACAGCATCTGTTTGCTTACAATTATCAGAGGAAAATTTGAAACATGTCAAGTTATTATTTAATGATAGTTTGCTGCATTTCTAATGTTGAAAGCTGTGATCTGATTAGGAAACAGCAAAAAGGAAGCATTTCTTACTTTTACTCGCTTCCTGTTGAATTTTTAGATTTTTAATGAGAATGAAATGGTTAATTTTAAGAAATTTTCTCAAATATTCGAGGAATTATTTTCGATAGTTTTGTAGAATTACCGAAATAAACATTTTGTATATTTCATAAAATATATATTTTATTCAGTTTTTTAAACTTGTGGTCTTAATATTTTTAATTTTTAATTTAATGTACAAGCAGCCATCTTTGCGGTTCGAATTTTTATAAAATATAAAAAATTACCTGGAAACAGAAGGAAAATAAATGCTCTATAAAAGAATGATTTTGTTTTTAAAAATAATATAGCAATGAGCTAATGCTTTACATCTGATGTGTAAATGATCATTTGGAGTCAATCGAAAATTAACAGCACAGTTAACTAATTCTTAATGAAGATTACAGTTAAGTTATTATTTTACATGTTTTATAAGGATTTTCTAAAACACTGTAAATGTGTTTACTTTCATTCCTCAAAATTTTTACTACGATTTATATTTTCAAATCTAAACTTTCATTAATAGCTATAACAATAAACTCTTTGAAGTATTATTATTTTTAATTTCGATGAAATCCCGTCGGCAATAAATAGAAACCCTTGCGAAACCCACGGCAGGTAAGCTTCTTTTATGCCTAGTACTGTAAAAATGCAGTATTCACCGTAAAGTTAAGTTTATTGATTTTTTTCTGTATCTCTTTTAAACATTTTGCGTCAAGAATAATTTTATACCATTCGTATCATAAATAAAGTAGATTTATAACAACCTATAGATATTAGTTAAAATTGTTTTAATTTTTGTGCTGTAACATCTGCAAAGGTTAAGGTTGAGACGAATTTTGTTTAAGGTATAAATTCTCAGCCCTTGCAAATATTTTCGTATTTCGTCAATTTTATTTAAATGATAATATGCTTGTCTAACATTTTAATACCTTTCACATTATATCATTTTATACATTTTATATTTAAGAAAGGTACGCAAAATCAACCTCTGGAGCTTTTTTAATCTGAATTTTTTTTCGAGTGCCAAGCTTATTGAACAGTAAAGATTTAGTCTTGTCACTCTGTAATATTAGCTATTAAGCCTATTAAATTATCTTGAGACTATTATGCATAATTAAATAAATTCAATATCTACTGTAAATTAAGCATAATTAAAAAAGTTTAATATCTACTGTTTCTAACTGTTATTTATGTATAGTGTACGATATTGTATAAATAAGAGTGTTATTTATAGACAGTCTAAGATATCGTATAAAAGGAAATATTTGTGTTTGCCTTTATTTTAAAATTTTATGTTTCTTTAAGCATTTTATGATATATTCTTTTTTAAGATGTTAAACTGTAAGCTATAGTTTTCAGATTGCAAATTTTGAATTTCCTCTTTTTGCTGAATGTTAAACCAGAACGCAGGGAAGAATTAGTTTTTTCCTTATCCTTTTTTTAGCTACATTTTCTCACCCAATAAGAAGAACTTGAAGAACACAGGCATCTTGAACTGATTTTAAGAATTTTCAATAATAGCTCAATTTATTATATTTTAACATTGATTCATTATTTTCAATAATAATTCAGTTTTAGCATTTTGCGATATTAATTGAGTATTTTCATTAATAATTCGATCTTAGAATCTTATCATTTTAATTATTGGATATTTCAAAACTGCAATCTGATAATTATATGTGCTTTTACAATTATTAACAGCAACAAAAGGAAAAATATTTAGTTCAAATATGTTTTTGATTTCTAATTCTTTTCTGTTTAAGGGAATTTCAGCTAACATCAGAAATATCAGTTTCAGGAAATAGATCCGTAGTATTTGCCTTCTTTGACAAAATTCGGGAGCCTTATATTAGAATTTATGGACCGGAGTATGTATTTCCTTCTTTCATATACTTTCTATAAATAACATCTTTCCTTTTACTGAAACTGCAACTTTTACTTTTAACAGTATATCAGCATCTTCTGTATTTAAAAGACTTTCTTAACTGTGACCTTTTCCCCCTTAAGGGCGCTTAGTTACGGAGGCTTTGGCACATTTATTGCAAAGACAATTTCAAGAATACTAATCAGAGAAGGTAAAAAGCGTTTTTATTATATTTAATAGCGTAACAATTAGTTTTCAAATGATGAACTAATGAATATATTAAGCATGCAACTGCAAAACTAGCTTTTCAGTCCTTTGAGAAATAAATATCTGTTTTTACTCTGAACACAAATACGCATTTTAATGATTATACGCCGTGTCTGCAAAGCCCTCAGACCCTATTTTTGCTACCGTTGGTCGTAAACACTTATCTTCAATTACAGAAATGTTCTAAATTTGCATTACTGGAATTTTTTAATTTAAAAATATCAGTTTTGTAAAAATTATGGAATTTAACTTTTACGTATATTTCCGGTCCCTATATATATGTGTGTGATGTACCAGCTCTTGTTCGGAATAAATAGAGTGTTGAAGAAATATAGATGTAGTCGTAGCATAATTATCAGACGATAAGTTTAAAAAACAGGATCCATTTATTATTGGTCAGGAGAAATAGCAGTTACAAAAATCATATTTCCGGAGTAAATAAAAAAGAATTACTAATAACTTTTTGTATGAAGTTTACTGCATCGTTACATTAAAGAAAAGACCCCGATATTCATTTGCGAGTCCTTTTATAGCCTCTGGAAAGGCGGAGCTTCAAAGAAATGACGTCAGCCTCGTCAGCTATTCCAGTCGCTTTAAATATCTCTAGAACATTCTATAACCGTACGTGTAGAAAAGGCGGGAAAAACAACTTGACTACGGGGCTGTGGATTTAATTCCACGTACTTTCAAATAAGGAGAACGTCGCCATTAAAAATGAAAAGAACATACAGTTAGAATTTTAAGTGTATTCTTGACTATGGAATTTTATTATTACAAATATATATATATATATATTCCCAATCTCTTACCCTCTTACCTCGCTCTGTCAGCTTAGGTTTTTATTCTTATATGTTGGTAAACTGCGCATTGTTTACTTTAAAAGTGATTGGATTTCGTGGTTTTTATGATTCGAATAAGAATTTTATGCCTTTATTTAATCTGAATAGAACAGCTGTAGAAGTATCAATAATTTAAAAGTTTAAGTGATGAGGTAAGCCTGACGAACGGCCATTTGTTTACATTTGAAATGTAAGAGAGTAGTGAAATAAGTCAGTTTTTGCACTTTCAATGTCTTTTTGCCGAGTAGGATCAAAAGTAAACTTTCAGCTTAGTGCAACGAAAAATCTGCCTACATGCCTGCAGGCCAAACTGCTTGTCTCCGCGTAGAAACTCTAATTTTAATTGTAAAAATTGTTTTGTAGTCTAAAAGGGCAATTTGCCCAGAAGGACTATTAATTTCCTTTCGGCATTTTGCGTCAAAATATCGGTTCACTCTGCAAACTGTTGCCACAAAATATTACAGCCCTGTGCGAAATCGATAAATATGCGAACTTTTTTCAAAAATTGTTGTTTACGTCATAATCTATATATAAATGGGACGGAAGGTACAGCAATTTAAGAAATAAGGAAATTTTAATTAAAAAAATAGTTATGTAGATTAAAAAATAATAACGTAAGATATTAATTTTTTATTGTGGAAAATTAATGAAACTTATAATGGCATTTATTATTAAATTTTATTAATTTACTCTTTGTTGTACACTACGGATATTAATTAAAGAGTTAAATAAGAATCAAATACGTAATAAGATAGTATTAAAAATTAACTACATATTACATTTTGTGTGGCTTAGAAAGAAAAGACAAAAAATGTGAATAAATAGGTTCTGAATATTTGATAGCCGAAAATATCCAGAATTCTATTTTAAATAACAACCCATACTGTAAGTGCGCCTCGAGCGTCGGAATACATTTTAAATTGGTTAAAGAGATTGCACCATTCGGCTATACAGATATCTATAATAATAAAAGCAAGTGTAATGTGTCTGTCTGTCTGTCTGACCGAGCTCTCCAGCCAAATCTATCGCACGCAGGGACCTGGAATTTTTTATACGGAAGCACAAAGGGGCTGGCCACCAGACTTCGAAGCCCGATTTTCGATTTTTGAATTAGAAAAATTTAAAAAAAATTATTTATAATTAATTAATCACGGTTTTTTTGACTCACTGATATTATTATTTGTTTTCAAATAACGTTCGATTGTAACAATTGATTTCTTTATTCTAGCGTTAGTTTGCTGTTTTGACGATACATTAAATCGATTAATTACAATTCATTTCTTTTTTGTAGCTTGTGGGGGGGGGGAAGAGAGAGAGACAGTCTACATGTCCTACACTACTATTCCTGCGCTATTCACTTATCTGCATTTTCTAAATGCACGGGCAACGCCGGGCGGGTACACCTAGTAAAACACTAAAGGAAACTTGAAAGATTCCTGGTTATGCATTTACAGAGGCTGTTCGCACATTTTTAGACGATTCTGGTAAGCGGTAATAAAAATTCGTTTGTTGCAATAAAAGTAATTGCAATTGTACTATGTTTTTAAAAGTCAAAATTATCCTCTGTGGCTTGAAAGTTTTGTTTTTATTCAAAATGGCTAATTTAACAAAGCAGTGGTTCGAAGGTTACATTTACGCTCTTTCCGAAGAGAAATATGCATACTCCGTTATCCAAAAACGATGTGAGAGTCATGGTTTTGTGATATCTAAAGCGTCGATAGGTAATATCCTCAACAAGAATGGACAAAAACGTCAAATCGGAGCCTCAAGTGGGACAAAAATTCCAAACATGTATCCAAGGAAAAAACCGACATCTTCGACTATTGCAAAGGTACGTTGTTTAATGTTAAAAGAAAATCCCCTCAAAGGACAGTTGCAAAATCATTAAAATGCTCGGTGTCCACTGTAAACAAAATGATAAATGTTGATTTAAATCTTAAGAAAGCGAAAAAACGCAATGTGCATCGTCTTCTTCCAAAGCATATCGCTCAACGCAGGACACGTTGCAGAATTCTATCTATATGAGAAACACTTATCCAAAGCAAAAATGGAAAACAATTTTCACAATAGATGAAGCATGGGTGTTTTTAAATGATTGTAACAAAAAAAAAAAAAAAAAAAAAAGAGCCATTTATTATCATAAAAGGGGAGAAAAAAATTTAAGTGCATGGTTCAAAAGAATCGAAAGAAAGTTTTTCTAAGGGATTCATGATTGTTGCTGGTTTTCCTTATAATTTCAAGTTAAAAATAAAAAGAGTGCAAAAAATGTCAAAATTAACTCCAAATACTATCAGGAACATATTTTATCGCCAATTTGTCTGAATGAAATACCATCGCTTCACCCACAGTGTCATCCATCTGTGAGACTCCAAAGCTAGCAGTCACACATCAAAATCCACTGTAAATTTCCTAAAAGAAATGGAACAAAAAACTGGTATCAAGGTCATACCCTTCACTGATATCCCTACTAAATCTCCCGATGTGTCACCTATGGATTTTTGTGCTTTCGGACTTTTAAAAACTGCATTATCCAAACGTTGTCCCCAAACCCTAACAGGACTCTGGAAAGCTTGTTCGGGAGAAATGGGATAGAATACTTCTTCTGCCACTTCAAAAGGCATTATTATCCTGGAAATTGCGGTGTCGAAAGGTAGTTTAGAATAAGGGACGTCAAATAGAACATTTGAAACACAAGACGTTTATGTAATTTAGTTTTGGGAATATAATATACATCGTCTAAAAAATGTGTGAACAGCCTCTGTATAGGACAGCATTCTATTTTAAAATGGAATACTAGTATTTTAAGTATTTATAAGAAAGGTCGCGGTACATTTTAAATATTATAACTTTCATTTTTAGACCCGGCGACACACTTAAATGATGAAACGCACTTACTAGGCGTTTGGTCAAGCAATACAAATATCAGCAGCTGTCTAATCAACTTCATAGCTGATCGTTTACCTATCAGTGAGGAGGTAAGACATTATTAAAATGCATAAAATACAAAATAATATTTAAAATTTAAAAAAATAATATCCAAGAGCTATTGATATTGACTATTCACTACGCAATCTTTAAGTGTGTAATATCTATTCATTGACGGTTTCCCTTCTTAAATACTAAATTCTTCAGAAAAGTTTCATTTAATTCCTAATTATTAATTCCTAACAAAGTTATTAAGTTTTCGTAATAATCGTTGTGTAAGTCTAAAGCAATAATAATCAAGCGAGGTATTCTGTAGCAAAACAAATGTGCTAACATCAGTTAAATATCGGATTGAATCCAGACATCGATGCAGCCACATAATTAGACTTTATGAAAAAGGAGAAGAAGTATTTCTGTGGCACTCTAGAAAAATTCCTCTTAAGTCTTTAAAAATGCGTTTACTTCCAAAATATTACTAAGCTGGCAAAAAGTTACCAAAAGTCATGAGATTAACCGGAGAAATTGTTAAAGTCTATGGAAATGCTCTGAATTAAATTTCTTATTTTATTTAGGCCATTCCTTATAAGTTTAACATTAGTCAATTCTAAAACAGCTACAATATAATGCGTGAAATAAGTACTTATAAACACAATAAATGGCTGATAATTCAAGATTTAATAAAATATGCAACAAATAAAGTCATCATATAAAATGCTCTAAATACGTAAATAAGTAAAAACGTACAGTATATAAATATAAAGTATGAACAAACAAATGCAAAAGTTTACGAAATTTGCTACCAGTATCATCATTATTCTGCTGGGTCAGCAGCAAATGTAACTTATTTGGGAAGTTCGGAATTACAATAAGTGTTTTTGAGGAAGATCACGGTACTGAATACTTCTTCTGAACGGTCGCAGACTCACTCTGGTGTAAAATATTAATAAAATAAAATAGCCCTTAAAATTGTCACAATCTGATCGCGATACACTTATTAAATGATACAGAAAATTAAGAATTTTATGTGGATGATTGAAACATACAGGCTATTTCAATCACTAAATCATTTCTTATCTGCTATAAATTTCTTAAATGTCTCGCACACAATATGCAAATGACTGAAAAAGTTGGAAAAATTACATGTATCAATCACTTTTACAAAGAGATATAATGTTATTGAGTCTATAAAACTGCAGCTCATCAAAAGAAATTTCAAATTTTTGCATTTCTGTGAAAATCAGCTTGAAATTTCCGTTTCTGAATTGACATCTTTTCAATGCAATTTGTATTTCCTCGAAATTTGCATTTGGAAACTAAACAAGCATAGCTGTTTTTACAGAACTCATACGAAAGAAAGAAAATAAGCAAGTCAAAGATAATTACAAAATAGCCTAAGAGAAATTCATCTGAAATTTTTTCCATTATAATCGTCTTAATTATGTACTATATACTTGTCCATTGTTTTATTAGTGCTCCAATATCATTTGTATACATATCTTTCGATTGCTGTCCCAGCCACATACAGACTTTATCTTGAAATTTTCGTCATACGCAAAGCTTCTGCTTTCAAGATTTCTTTTATTGGAACAAACAGGCACTACTGTTGTTATTGTTGTGGTGTACATTTCATTTCTCGAGCCAGTTTCTCCAGCCTCTGCTCAATCTAAACAAAAGGCCTACTTTAGTTTTATCTCAGATTTTGTTCAATCTAAACAGAAGACCTACTTTAGATTTTCTCAAATTTTGCTCAATCTATACAGGTCTACTTTAGTTTTTTCCTCAAATTTTGCTCAATCTAAACAGAAGGCCTACTTTAGTTTTTTCCTAAAATTTTGCTCAATCTAAACAGGTCTACTTTAGTTTTTCCTCAAATTTTGCTCAATCTAAACAGATGGCCTACTTTAGTTTTTACTCAGATTTTGCTCAATCTAAACAGTAATCCTACTTTAGTTTTTTTCTTAAATTCTGCTCAGTCTAAAAAGAAGGCCTACTTTAGTTTTTTCTCAAATTTTGCTCAATCTAAACAGAAGGCTTACTTAGTTTTTTCCTCATATTTTGGAGCAGCCTTGAGAAATCATTTCACGTACTTATGCGTGGTTTTATGCTACAATTACTTTTCACCATGAGCAGAGAATATTTCTTTTATGAAAAATTTTTGCATGAAGTTCTTTTCCTACATCTCCCTTCAAAAAATGGTTAACAGACACTGCTGTCTCTTGTGCAGTCATCATCTACCAATAGCATTTTCAAACTGAACTACGCATGTGCGACTAGTAACTAAGGAAATAAATATCATGAAATAGGGCTGTTCTGCCGCCTATTAACACACATGAAAAGCACTAGCTGCTATTTCAAAATATATCATGCTAATTTTTGACTTACTTAATGACTTTTCCTGTGTTACTTAATGTCTTTCTCTCATGTTCTCTAAAAATTTTAATTCATGGCATCTAGAATCGTTTGTTATCGTATGAGAATATGTTTTTTCTGTTTAGTTTTATTAATTTGATTAAGAGAAACATTATCTCCACGATATTTTTCCTGTAAGGTGCTTTTCCTGATAAACTACGTATTTAGTTCGGTTCGTGGAAAACGTAAACTCACTTTTGGTTTCTTACAAACCTTTATTTTTTTATGAATGACCTGCGTTGGAAGAAAAGAAATATACGCTTCTTGAATAACTTAAATCGTAACATTTAGAGCCGCATAAATTGCGGCTCTAAAACAGGGACTTACATCATAATAATCCGTAAGTTTTTAATATTTCAATCTAGTTATAATACTCAGTTAGCTTACTGTGTTTATTTTAACTGTTTCCTCCTTGGCTAACGGAGCGTTTTATCTCAGACATGCCTTTAATGTCTTTATAGTCTTTATCCGATGTGAGGGAGCTCTTCCTTGATCAAAGTTCATTGGAGATAGCTTATGAGGTAAGGAATTAAGATTTAGAAGTCTTTTGGCATCTACGCGCAAGATATTATTATATACACTCGCGTGCAAAAGGAAGAGAATTTACAAATAATTGTTATTTTTACGAAGAGTATTGAACCAAAAGAACTAATTATGCTGCTGAAGAACTATGAAAATGTCTTGAATGTAGAAATAGTCGACTGCGGAGCTGTGATTGTAAAGGGGATACAAGAACTCTAGGGACTTTCGGCGATGTGTGCGTTCGTACTCCTTCACGATATTTTTATATTAGCTATCAAGTAAAGTGATTACTCACGAATGTATAGAGAACAGAATGAGACCGAGAACTATCCGCAGTTTGGAGGCAGATCAATCATAAGTGAAGGTGGCTACAGAGCTCAATATATCGTCTGTGATTTGTGGAAACAGTTTCAGCCCACTGGATCTGTATCTGGAAGACCTGGACGAGGTCGACCAAGATCCACAACGACGAATGAGGATCGTTATTTGGCACTTTCAGCTTATCGACACAGGACTGCTACAGCTACATAACTCTTCCGTGAGCTATATGCTACCACTAGAACCCGAGTTTTACTGTCTACAATTGCTCAAAAGCTTCATGAGATGTGGCTATATGCCAGAAGACTCGTTGTTTGCATCCCGCTCACTGCAGCTCACAAGAGAGCGCGCTTAACACTTTGCAGACAACAAGCCCCTTGAATCAGACTCAGTGGAGCACTGTCTGTTTTACAAATGAGTTAAGATTCACCTTGGACACTGATTCTCGGCGTACTTGTGTTTGGAGAGAGCCTGGAACACGATATCATATCTCCCTTATCAGGGAAAAGGATCATTACAGTGGTGGTGCAATGGTTTGGGAAGGCAACATGTTGGACAGCCGTACATCCCTCTTGTGTTTGATGAAAGCATTCTGACTGATGTGAAACATAGATAAAGATCTTAGTGTCCTATGTTCGACTTTTCAAGAGTTCAGCTTGTCCTGGGTTACTGTTAATGGACGACATCGCTTGTCGACATAGGGCTCAGCTGGTCCACGGTTACCTGGAAAGTAAGGCTATTCACCGCATGGATTGGTCAGCCAGATCTTATGACGTTAATCCTATTAAGAATATTTGGGACGCTCTTGAGAAAGCAATTTCATCTCCTCCTTTCCCTCCGAGAACCATCCCGGAGTTGAAATTTGCCTTGCTGCAGAAGTGGGATTGACTGCCACAAGGATTCTTCAGCTGCCTCCTGTTCAGTATGCCGACATACTGCGCGACGCATCTGGCTATGTGAGAGGACCATGCCATGTGTTAAACTCATTTTAGTTCGATACAACGTGACACAACGTGAATTACAACGTGAATTTTGCACATCGCTACACTGTGAGCTTTACTGATATTCATGCATATATAAAATGACATTTCAATGGTACCACAAGGTATTTCTCTCGCCTTCTTCGCATGCCTTCGTGGTGTGCTGGTCTGCACGCTCAGCACGTAATTGAGATGTCCGTGGTTAGATTTCCGGCGAAGGCGTTTCAAATTTTTCATTTCTCCTGCTTCCAAAAAATACCTAATGTCTCTACAGTGGCGCCCGACCTATAAGCGTGTTGGATGATGATTCTCCTCACCCAGGATTTGGCGGTTGTGTCTCCTAAACTCCCCAGTCGCCTTTAAAAGGGGGTGTATATAAGGTATTTCGCCCGCCTTCTTCGCGTGCCTTCGTGGTGTGGTGGTCTGCACGCTCAGCGCGTAATTGAGAGGTCCGTGGTTCGATTCCCGGCGAAGGCGTTGCAAATTTTTCATTTCTCCTGCTTCCAAAAAATACTTAATGCCTCTACAGCATATTTCTTTCTCTGTTGTAAATGTATATTCATACCTAATTTTGCTAAAATCTGTACATTAGTTTTTCAGAAATTCGACATGATATATAAATTCTCTTAATTTTGTACGTGAGTGTATATATTTATGTATATGTATATACATATACATATAAATTTATAGTTTTTTCATATATTATTAAGTCTGTTCATCTATAATGTAGTATGATATAGCTATAAATTTATTTCTTATGTAAATAAAAGTCAGGTTTCTAAAATTAGGTTTATTTAGATCGAATCCCATATTAATTTTAGTCCGCAGAATTTCCTGTTGCTATGATATTATTTTAAAGCTGTTTTATCTCGAATCGTGTGATAAAATGAAAGAAAGCCAGTTGAATATCGGCTTTGGGGATATTTGATGACTGATTGGTGGGCACTAAATTTAAATTCGTGCATTTTTAAAAAGAAAAATGTATGAAGTCTTTCTCTTTCTTTTTTTTAAGAGTTTGAAAAGTAGAACAGAAGATGAAAAGAAAGCACTCCCAGGACTGGATATGAGTGAGGAACAGATGTTTTTCCTCGCCTACGCTCAGGTTAGTACTCTAGACCCCCTTGCGTCGTTCATAAAAATAGACTTGTGTTTATTATTCTCTAGGAGACTCGCTTTATATATGGGAATAATCCACTACCCAAAACGCTACTCCTTCAGAGAAATCTCAAATAAGTGTTATTTCAAAAAGTTAAATAAACTCAGTAATTTTACCGTATAAATAATATATAAAAGAATGAAAACGAATTTCTCTGCATGACTATTGAAAAGAACTGTAGTTGTGTTTCCTTTTAAGTCAATTAACATATCACATGTAATTAAGGACTTCATTTACAAAATTAGATGCATCGGAATCCTATGGAAAGCGTTAGGAACGGCAAATATAAGTTGATAAATAAAATAACAAGAAATAAAACAAAAGATAATGAATAAATTAAATTAAATACATTTAATGAAATAAATAAAAATAATAATTTGAAATAAATCTCTACATATAATAAAACAAAGAGTATGTCTGTGTGTGTGTATGTGTGTGTCTTTCGTTCGCGCTGCGCGTAAGCTAATAGACCCACGGCTAAGAAATTTGGTACATAGGTGCATCTAGACAAGAGCCAATGCACCTCGAAGCGATTTTTTCGAAATTCGAATTCGAATTTTTTTTATTTTATGTTTTGTGACGAAATCGCGTCATTTTGAGACATAATGGGCTATAGGAAAGCGAGATTTTACTCTACGCACTCCATTTTCACATCGTCATGAAACGTAGGCACTTAGCTATTTTTACGAACTTAAAATAAATTTCGTGTTTCAATAAATCGATTCAAATACGAATTTATTTAACAAAGTGAGCTTAACACCTTTTCAACGGGATTTTTTCTTAAAAAGTTTATTTTTTAAAATGTACCGTTTATTTTTCTTTGATTTTTGGACACGTTAAACTTTTATCCTTGCGACTGCTTTTACAAAAGAATTTTGGAGAAATGATAATATTTTGTATTTTTTACAATTTTTTTAAATGAAGCTTCCGAGTACACTTCTCGCATCTCACATCTTTAAAAATGTGGTTTCGGCAACAATTTTCCTTTCTCATTGTTGTTGATAGATTTTTGATGAAATAGCATCATTTTGAATAGTTTCATTCTTTTAGAAATATGGGTTTGGCAACAATTTTTCATCGTATTTCTTATGTCACTGTTTTTAAGAGATTGGCATATTTCGTTGTCATTTTTTATACATATAATACATTTTTATTGATATTTTTTTTATGAGAATTGATTGAAGTTGCCCTGCAGAGTGAAATTCTGCGTGATTTTTTTTTTTTTTTTTTTTTTTTTAAGTTTTTTTGTTAATTTTTGCTTATTTCACTGTTTGTAAGATACTGAAAAGTTTTGCATGATTTGTTTTCTTCAACGGAAAGTTGGTTAATTTTTTTATTAGGATAATTAATATTTGTATTAAGGGATATAGCTTATTTCATTGTAACTTTTTTCTCTTGAAAATATAAGATAAAAATATCATTAATTATACTTTAATTTTCAGAATTTTTTGTTTTTTGTATTCTTTTATGTTATTTATTGCTTATTTCACTGTTTTTAAGCTATTGAAAAGTTTTGAGTGATTTTTTTAGGAAACGAAGTTCTTAACCTCCTTTATACCATTTGAGTTCTTAAGATTTTGCAAAGGGAAGTTGGTTAATTTATTTGTTAGGATAATTAATATTTGTATTAAGGAATATTGCTTATTTCATTGTAATTTTGTTATACGTAATAACTTTTTTTATGAAGTTGTTCTGCAGAGTAAAATTCTACGCAGCTTTTAAATTTAACGTTAGGTTTCCCCTTCAGCCATTTTTCTGGTACATTTAAAAGCAAGATGAAGGCTGGCAGCGAAGCTGCTAGTTAACAATAAATTAAGGTACAGCAATTAACTTTAAAAATTAAATGATACAATATAACAGTGGAAAGTTTTATCATGCCTTGTAGAATTAATGATTACAAGGCTCATGCCTTGTAGAATTAATGATTACAAGGCATGGTACCGAAGATAAATGAAAGGTTGAACAAATTCTGAAAAACACTTTTCGCAATCAGATGAAAGTGCTTTCTAATTTATTTAAAGACGTGAACAATCTAATTTTATTGTGAAAAGGCGAATGAATATAAATATCCATATCACAGTACCCTAGTATTTCCTCTTCTTAATGAAATCATATTTCGTTGCGGAGAACGTTTTTCCCTGCGTGTTTTACTTTTCTGACGCCACACATTGAATAGATAGTGCGTCACTCAACTGCTGAAAGAAATGTTACTTTAAAAATAGAATTTTCCGTTAAATACTGGGATACAGTCACACAGTAAAATACCGAAGTTAATCTTATTTGGGTTTCTGTCTGAAACTATAATTTTACTCAAAAACTGAGAATTACCAGAGTCGGGTTTTGTTAGGTTCCAATTAAATTTAAGTTCTGAATAATTAAAAGACAGAAATGCTGTTTTAAAAGCAGGGAACAATATTCCTCTAAATTAGGGACCTTTCTAGCACGAGAGCCGCATCAATAAATTCGCAAAGATCCGCTAACCACTGTCAAAAAATAGTGTAGTCAGCAAATTTACATGAAAAAGGGAGGTTTGTTTTGCAAGACTACAATTGATTCCAAGCGAGGAGATAGTGTTACACATTTGTACATATAAATACAATTGGCTCCAGAAAGTCAAATGGAAATAGAATTAAAATCGATTGCAACATTTTTAACTATGAGAAAAAAGTATAAAGATGGTTTTACAGAACGATGTTACAAAATGCATTTGCAATAAAAATAATAATAATAATAATAATAATATAATAATAAAATTAAAAAAAAAAAAAAAAACTTACATTATTGGAGGGAGATAGTTACTTTAGTTCTAATGTGAAATTTGACATTGTTTTTGCTTGATTAAAGCTTCAATATCATATTTAATCTGTGTTGTTGCAATTCGTAAAGTTTCCTCCGAATGTATGTCTGTCAGTCGTGTTCTTGTTTTCCATTTTAGGATTTTTCATTTTACTAAAACGTTGTTCACATATGTAGGTACTGCCAAAGTTAGAAAACATGAAGATTGCATGTTTACGAATTCCTTTATACCTGTCTTCGGTCACGTATTTCGAATAAAAATCAATTAATGTAGGATTTTGAAGAAACTTGCAAGTAACATTTTTGAAAAACTCGTTATTTTTAGAAAATTTTATCTCATTTTCGTTCATCATTAATATTAATATTTTCAGTTAGTTAATATTTCAATTAATATTTTTAGGGTATAAACGAAGGAAAATTTTTGCAACTTTGTCTATTGTTATTTGTAATCCAAAGAGCATATTCGAATTCTTGTTTCACAATAGATGCCTACATTACAATATATTCAAATTCCTATATATAATACAGGCTGAAGTATATTCCTTGTGTTTCAAACAGTGCATTTTGTAAATCATAATAACTTAAACTAATATTAGCAATAACATACTAGTTTCCATAATTTTACTAAAACATTACAACTAATTTTTCTTTTGTCTACCTTTGCAATTTTTGAAGCATTTGAAAATAATGTAAAAACTTAAAATCTATATTAGTTTAATAAATAAGAAAATAATAATTGATAATAAAAAAAAAAAAAATACACAAGAACGCTGATTCGAAAAGCGAATCAATGTAAAGGAATGTATAATATTTTTTAACGATTTAAAAACTTGTTTTTTGTTATCAACTTAAGAACATTTTGGTTAAAAATTTGACAGTTTGTTAAAGAAACAATTTAACAAAATCAGTGTAAATAAATGCTAAGTACTTATTCAAAAAGTTTGACATATATCCAAAAGTACTACTTAAGTATTTCAAGAATTTAATGCGTATTAAGTACTTCATTTAAAACTAGATGGCGCCACACGCTTAATGCAATGTTTACAAAAATATTCCCACGCCCATAGATGAGACAAATCGAGTAGTGGAAAATATTTTTACTGTACAGCAGTTCCATATACACAAATATATTTTCAAAGATGGGAAATCAATAAAAAACCTTTCCCGAGCAAATTATTGAGCCTTAAAATGCTGATCGAAAATCGTATACTTTTGCTAAAAATCCGAATGCAGGAAAAAATAGCACCGAGCGTATTTTATCGGCTGAATTTTACCATTTTGTAGCCTACAAAGAACATTTAGATTTTCATTTAGATTTTAAGAATTACCAGCAGCTTGTTTTGTTCACTTTATTTCCTATCACGAAGATTTGCTGTAGCGTAAAAGTTGCATTCTTTGCTAACACATGTTTTGTGACATTCATTAACCGTTCATATTCATCGTACGCTGTTAATTTAAGTACTTTTAGATTACTATTTATAAGGTATTTCTCCCACCTCCTTGGCATGCCTTCGTGGTGTGGTGGTCTGCACGCTGTGCAGCGTATTCCAGAGGTCCGCGGTGCTCATTTTTCATCTCTCCGGCCTCGAAATAACCTAATGTCTAATAAAACAAAATTACATCTACTTCTGGTTGAGAGTCAAGGGTAAAAAGAAAATAGTAAGAAATACAATTAAATAAGAATACTATTGTACAATATATAGAAACACAATTAATATTCTAAATCTGTGACACTTAGTCTAGGGAAAAAATGGCCTTTTTTAGTTATATATATACATGCAATTTGACTTTAACAAATATTCTCTAATCCTAAAAAGCTAATATCAATTTAAAATTTAATTAAAAAATTTTAATTGCAAAAATAAAAAATTAATTATTGCTGCGAACTATTTTACACTATCATTTAAATTCTAAGAGCACATGTAAATTAAGTGCACCTATCTAAAACCATGAAAAAACATATAATATTAAAAAAAATTAATTTCAAAAAATTTTTAAGGAATTTTATAACCACATTAAACTGCACAAGTGAATAACTGTTCAGCAGATAGGAGACAGACTTATCAAGTGGAAGTTGCCTCCAAACCTAACTCTTCAATTACTCAATTCGTGTTTCGTCATCCATATAAGGAAGGTAAAAGTAAAATTCT